CAACGGCAAGACTTTTATAGCACATCTCACAGAGGTTACAAAGTGAAGTTCGAAAACATCACACTAGCACTTTTACGGTTCTTACCCCGAAAGTTGCTCTGAAACTTTCTATAGATGTTATGATGTGAATTAGTTCTACAGCATTATACAGAGTGTACACGGATGGGCTTAACTATACTTGTGAAAATATTTATTTTAAATTAAAAAAATAATTCTTCATAATTTCGTTTGCTTGTTAAATAAATTCGATTAACATTGAAAAATTATGAAAAATAACTTTTTTAAATTTAAAATAAATATTTTTACACGTATAATTAAGTCTAATTTTTGAAGCGACGTCAAACGTAAAATTTTTCATTTGAGAAATGTCGTTCGTTCTTATTTTTAGCGCAAATATCTTGCACCAGAAATTAATCAGTTACGTCATGACATCAATCACTGATTGAACAATTATTGAATAAAAGAACACACCTTATATCGCAAGCACAATTACACATGTGGGATAGAAGAAGCTACCTATAAAAGTACTGAACCATTGGACAAAATTAGCTAAATAGTATAATAAGGTACCAATATTGCAAAACCTTAAACGGTGAACGATGATAAAGCTAGATTGGTGAATAATAATAGACGAATACAACAATGACTAGGTACATATTATACTAGATTACTAGAGGATAGTTAAGTTCCCTGATTTCTTACCTCTAGACGCAGAGATATATCATCTTTTTTAAATCAAGCCTTTTAACTTTTTTTGTATAGATATTTATAAAATGCTATAATGTAAATTAAATATATGATAATTTATTAGAAGAAGATAAATTATATTTTTATATAAAAAGATTTTACTTCTCAATACATTGAATAAAAAAGAAATTGACAACTTGTTATGCCTTACTTTGTCGTTTTAAATAAAACAACCAATGTTAGTGTATTGATTTTAATTTTACAAATTTTATGCTTGATTTCCAAGGTAGATATGCAGATTTTATAAAAAACAACTCGTCTTTTTTAGCAAGATATTCTATTATACTCGAGAGCATCACTTGTGATTTCTCTCAACTTTTCTTTTGGATTATTTGCACATCTAGCCTGTTTAAGAGAATGAACTGCTTGAATTTTGATATACCTGACATACCATGTACCTATAGATTCACTTTTTATTAAATTTCAGGTGTTATATATTCTTCTTCAGACAATTCTCTAGTATTTTCTTTTGCTTCTAAAATTCCTGGAATGTCATTAGGTACAAAGGAAACCTAAAATATAATATTTTTAAAATGTATTTTTAGTTTGATTAAGCCATAGCCCTCAGAAGGTCTAGATACCGCATCGTAAAAACATTTTGACCCCCCATATGATGGGCGCCATGATAAATAAATGTCAATAAATTTTAAGTTGGCAGTACTGACAAGACAGAATCGGCGCAAGTTTGGTAATAAGCGTAAGATCGGCGTTCGACGTATATAATCGATTTTATTATCTGTTGTGTTGTTTATTTTGTTCTTCTAGTAAAGGTTTTATTTAAAACATTATTTTTTAGTTTAGTCGTTTAGTGTTTTATTTTAATAAAAAACATTTGTGGTTTGGTGTTAAATTTTTACAGGATTTTCAAAATCTCTTTTTGTTTTGTACGTGAATGTAACAATGCATCTAACGGTAGAAGATACAAGGAAGGAATAACATTTCATGTGTAAGTTTTCACAAATATTTGTGTATTTACAAAATCAAATAATTTGTATGTTTTGTTGTAGCATACCAAAAAATGTTAGGAAAGAATAACTGATAGCCATAGGAAGACCATTGAATCATTTTGTGACTTTAGTATAAGCCCAGAAAATTTGGGGATACTAGCTGAAACGGCAAATGTGTTATTGGCTCCTTGTTAGTGACCTATTGTACAATTTTTCCAACACAAGTTCCATGATCCTTTGAACTTGGCTGCACCGTACTGATGAAGACCAATAGTCAGAAAAACGTGTCGACCGTTACTTCTTTTTTACTTTTTTTATTCGGAAAATGTCCACTATTACTACCTTGATACAACAATATTAGTTCCGTTCTAAGTAGGTACGTATTATAGTTTGTATGTTTTATGCTTTATTTTATTATATGTAATAAATGATAGGAAATATACTTTTATAGTAAATAAATTGATTAAAGCAATATGTAAGAATAAGTTTATCTAAGGATTAAATTGTTAAAGCAATTTTTCATATCCATTGTTTATTAGTTTGTTTTATTTAATTCTTTCTTATTGAGTAAGTTATTTCATATAAATATGCGATACTTGTAAAATGTAATATTTTTTTTTAAATATTATGTTCGTATAAAATATTGTTCAGTTAATAAAAACAGAAATATTTTGTCTTTTATTCAAAAGAAGTTTGTAAATTTTTCAAAATATATTTACCTACCCCAAAAAAAGATTAATAAAACCAGTTAGTCATATACACATTTTCTATATATTTATAGAGGTAGTTTTTAAATAACTTTCAATACATTCGAAATATGTGGTTTTATTAAACTCAATGTAACAAATAATAATAGGTATTCTCAAAAATATTTAAAAATAAAATTGAGATGGGACTCTTGTATAATTTAGTGACTATTCGCCTATGGTTAGTGCACTGCTGTATGTCCCTGGGTTTTCTACATTAGAACAATACTGCTTCTCCACTCTAGCAGTATTTTTTGCATCTCAGATTATATTTATGAAAAAACCAAGGAATTGTTTTGGGCCTATTGTTGTGCCCTTTTCCAACATTCCCAAAGTGTTTTTTTTTACTTTCTGCTGATTGGATCTCCGATAGCGACAACTCCATTTGTTGTTCCACTAGTTTTTTATCAAATTTTTAAAATAACTTCTATATATTTATCTTTTGCAATGACTTTGCTTACCTGCTTCATAATCTCTTCCCTATGCCCCAATTTCTCTAACGGGTGAGATCTTATACTCGCTGTATTAAATCAAATTATCATTATAGTTTATTTGAAAATGCTTGGTAGCACAGTTTTTATGGCAAAGGTCCATATTTTTAGATAATTTTGCTATTATTCATTTTCAAATAAACTATAGGAATAGGAGTAATCTATTAGTTTTTCTAAAAATACCTTGTTACCGATGTAAGTATATCTTTCCTTAGTTAAAAAATTCGAGTTTTTATTTTCATAATATAATATAAATAAATGACCGGTTAACAATCACATTCTTTTAAATAGTACATTTGACATTGAAGTAGGTATTTTCTCCATATTGCCAAACAGGAACAGATGGTTTACTTGTAATTTGAATTATATTACATAAATCTCACTGAATTTCTCTATAATTCTCATAGCAATATGTACACAAACCACTTATCCAATAATATATAACCATGTAAAAATAACATTTCAAGAACGAGAAATTTTATAAAACCGGTCCTGTCTGAACAGATCTAGGAAAATCAAATAGGTGTGTCAAAGTTTTGTTCTTAATTTGAAATTAGAAATTGTGCGTCTCACTCACTTATAACTAATAACAAAGTGCAGATTATCGGTGTTCACGTATTACAGAACACACAAACTAAAAATCAGTGTAGCCAAAACATAAATTTACCTAACATGGCGACAAGCTTGAATGGGGTCATTTTTTTGTATTGACAGCATACGCCAAGCGGTATCTAGACTTTCTGAGGGCTATGGATTAAGCATAATTACCTTTTATAAATATTTGGTGTAAAATGTTACTGGACATTCGGTTAAACGTTTATCTTCTCGTTTGCAACGATTTATTTGCAATTCTTTGTTTTTATTGTATACTTAATGAATGAAATAATAAGTTTTCTATTTTATAGAGGACCCTTACCAAATCTACTCGAATGTATAAATAATAATTATTTATAAAATAATATCTGGAAGTCAAAAATCAAACCATCAAAAAAATGACAAATGTCAAGAAAACTGACAAGTGACAATTGACATAAACATTCCGAATTCAGAATTATGATGTTCACGGTACTTCTCGTGGATACTATTTTAGCAAATTACTGTATTACGTTATGTTAATATAACAGGTAGGTTATCTAGGTAAGTAACAAATAGAAGTTTTGCGAGGTTTTAATTTCCTTCAACAACTTGAACGTTGCATTTACGTTGAATAGTAATATTATTACGTTCCCTTAATGTAACATCGCCGAAAGGCTTGGCAACGTTATGTGCTAGTTGGGTTCTTGCACTTGGGATCCTAGAAGTGGATGGAGTAGTGTTGGCTATGAGATTTCATCCTGAATCAGTAAAATTTTTAGGTAGGTATTCATAGAATGATACGTTGGACACATACCAAGGTACATTTGTTATCATACAAAGTATTTTTGATTGATTTTTTGAATACTTGCATATCTCCAGAGCTCAATACCATACGTCCAGTTCTAGTGTCAATTTGCATTTTCTGCTGATTAACCAGTGTCTTAAATCCAGGTGCATTTTTAGATATTTCCTACTTGTGAATTATGGTACTTGAATATTGTTGAAAGTATGAAATGTTTCATGTATGTTTCATTACTTTTTGTTGATAGATCCACTGTATAAAATACATATAGTAAAGATCCAAGAATAATACCTTGTGGAAAATCTGATTTTATTGAGAAATTGTTGGACACACGTAATGTGTGCAATTTGCAAACTTATTGGATGTAAATATGTCAAAGACGATTTTAAATGATACACTTAGGGCTTGGGGTAAGGGATTTAGCAATTATTTAAATTTTGAAATTTTTTTGTAGCTGTACTTTTATTTAATGGAACGGACTCTACGCTAAAGGTTCTAGGTTACTTCCCGTACCAAATTACAATTGGTACAGTTTTTTGGAATAATAAAACAATAAAAATCAAAATAACCATTAAACCAATTTTATTATAAATAACATTTTACTTACCAAATTTGTAAAGCTAATTGGTTAATGTGCTTTCTTCATGTCATATCTGATTTTAAAGTAATAAACAGTATTTTTTTATATCAGGACTTTTTCATAAAGCTATTATGCAAAGTGGTTGTGCATTAAACCCTTGGGCAATGGGTAGAAGAAATGCTAAGGAAGTTGCCAAACTTATGGGGTATAATGCAGATATGGATGAAAAAACATTTTTAGAAAAGTTCCGCAAAGTCAGTGCAAGATCGATAGTAAAAGCTCAATTTAAAATGGTAGATGTAAGTAAACCAAATTTAGCCCTATAAACAACAATCGTCTTTAGTTATTTCAAATTTTTTTTCAAGGGTGTTTGCGCTATTATGAGTCACTGTATTATTGGACTTAAATTGTTATACTACTGCTTGAATCAAATACTGATAACATTTAGGTACCGTGTACTAAGATTACGAAAAGCTATGTAATTAGACGAGGTTATACCAGCAGACTTTAAAATTAAAATGATAGAGATGGATAACTCCACAAGTTAAATTGTGATCAAAGTATTCCGTCGGTATAACTCCAATACACGATACTTCTAGATAACATATTAAGATTTTACTTTCTAGCCGTTCTTCGCTAGTGTAATTCGACCTTTTGGACCTGTAATCGAATATCCACATGATGGAGCCTTTCTAACTGAAGATCCCGAAGAAATAATGAAATCTGGAAAATTCAACCAAATACCAATGATCATTGGGTATACTTCAAATGAAGGTTTGTTATTTGAAACTTTAAGAAAATGTCGATCCGAGGTATACTTGCCTAAAAATTTGGAAATGGATATTCCGGCTTTTTTAAATATACCAGAAAAAAGTGATAAAGCTAAAGAAATGGCTCAAAAAATAGAAAAATATTATTACAGAGGTGAAAGCATATCGGAAGATAACATTCAAATCCGTTACACTGTGAGTACATATTTTCTTTTATAAGTACATTTTTAATTTTTTCGCTTCTAGATTAACTCAAGCGTTTCAGTTCTCTTGAATCTTCTTACTTTGTTTATGTTGAAGAGTGTTTGTTGATGACTTCTGGGAAACTCGGTGATAGTTTCTTTGATATACTCCATTCCTAGGTCCCAGTGAAGATCAGTGGCAGTACAAGGGTGCATCAACGATGTTCTTTAGTATCTTGTTCTGTCTTTAATAACTAATGCTTTTACATAGCCCCAAATCTAGATGCCATATATCTAGAAAGATTTTGGGCTTTGCTTGTAGAGAGGCAATTTGTAATAGGGAGCTTGGAATTTCTTCCTAACAAACAGTATATTTTTCTGAATTTAATTCAAATTACTTCCCGTTTCTTCTATAACGTGTGGAGGGTGGGCTACTCCCACGGCACTTAGAGCTAATTAGGCCGTTTGTACATCTTCCTAAGATGAAAGGCACCTCCTAGCTCGTGAGGCAGCCTACAGATTTAATGTATTTGACAACGTCGCCAAGAGGTGCTTCTCTTATATCGGCCGGGGTTAGCCGATCCTCGCCGAACACATCTAAAAAATGAGAGCGTCGAGCAATCGTAGAGAATATGCTCAATTGTCTCATCTTCATGTTCGCACCTCCTACATAGAGTGGATTCTGACAGCCCCATGATATGGAGATGCTTCCGTACTTGGCAATGACCAGTAAGAATGCCTGTGACTAGGCGCAGACTCTGTCTAGTAATAGTCAAGTATTTGTTTGTTGCAGTGTCGTCAGGATAACTTATGAGCTCCCTTACAAATCTGCTGTTTCTTGTTTCATCCCATCTTTCCTTGAATTTCACAAGGGAATATTCTTTAATTAGATCTGACACTACAGATTTTGTCAGGCCAATAGAAGGGCCAGGTCCAAAAAGTATTTGGTTAGCTGCTTTCTTGGCTAGTGAGTCAGCAAGACGGTTACCTTTCGATGTGGCCACATTGTGACCACATTGTTGATTAATATTTCGGCCAAAGCTTCGTGACATTCTACTACTAACCTTGAGTAAATTCGTGGTCTGTTCAGGGTGAGTAGTACTTGTCTGCTATCTGTATTGATGAGCATGTTCCTTCCAGTAATATTGTTTCTGGCTATTTCTTTTGCTGTTATGAGAATCCCCGTTAGCTTTGTTTGAACTACACTGACACTATTGCTTACAGCCCATTTTATGTTTAGATTTAAGAATCTGGAGTATATTCCACATCCTGAGCCTTATTTTGTTTTAGAACCGTAGGTGTAGATATGAATCGTGCCTGCCACTTCTGGCTCTTCTATTTGTTCTATTATAACTTTATATGGCTTATGGAAAATATATCTCGGTGAGATGGAGTCCATGTTCGCTTAAAGCAGTGGGAGCGTATCGAGCGCCTCCTTCCAAAAGCGACGTCTCGCCCCACCAGATCCTACATCAGGCAGCTTCTTCGTGGTCTTGACAATAGTTTTTCGGGCTTGTGGAATAATCCTTGGTGACATATTTTATCAAAACTTGCGATATGTCCAGGAACATTTTTGTAATAGCTTCTGTACATTTTTTATACTAAAGAATGCCTTTCTTTGAAGCCGAATTTATGGAGTTCAGTCCTCTATTATTCATTTCAATCTTTTAGTGAGTAATTTTTCATTAGTTTCGATATTACAGATAAAACTTCGTTAAGTGATTTTCCTGATTTTGGGATTGTCATCATTTCTAAATGATTGCTTTCTTAACTTTTAATAAATTGAATATGTAAACGATGTATTATTGTAATACTTTTTTTTTAATTTCAGTTGTTTGGTGACATCATCTTTCTCCAGGGTATTCAGAAAACCATTCGCCTCTTTAAAAAACACAGCTCAGCTCCGATTTATGTATATAAGATGACCGTAACTAGCTCATTGAACTTTTTAAAAGAATTTTCTCAAGCTACCTTTCATAACACTTTAGTAGTTTTTACTTCTATTAACTACTGGTTGAGAATACTTCCCTTTAATCCTTTCCATAAAATTTTGTTCAGTATAAGAAATAATCTACCAAAAAAAGCACTAGAGGGCGCAGCCCATGGAGATGATGTATTTTACCTGTTTAGTAGTATGTTAGCTTACGATACGGAAAAAGGCACCAAAGAAGATTTTTATATTCACCGGTTTGTTAAACTCTGGACAAATTTTGCTAAATATGCCGATCCTATACCAACGACAAGTGATTTTTTTAATAATATAAAATGGAATCAAGTTTCTGATGAAAATATAGATAATATCTTTGAGATAGGAACTGAATTAAGAGAGACTAAAAATTTGGATAGAGAAAGAATTTTATTTTTGGAAAAACTTTATGAAGAATATGCTTCGTAGGACGACCATTTTAATTTGTAAATAAATGTTTAAATTAAGTTTTAATTAGTATTTATTTAATATACAACAATTGGGAAAACAAATTTAAAGTTTTCTGGGAGCCGAAAAACATTTCTATAGATATTTATTGATATGGAAATTTCTAGAGGATAATGAATGTCATGAAGTTAAAATTAGAAATCAATATGTAATTAGGGGGATGTTTTTGTTTTGTGGGAATGATTGTCAGATGGGAATTTCTGAAAGTTTTGAAAAGTTGACTTGTTTAGAAAGATTTAGTTGTTATAAGAATTGTTACGTTGAAGATGTTGAAAGAGTTTAAATAAAAATAATTCAAAAGCAAAGTTAAATAAATTTTATTTAAATTGGAAAGAAGGAAAGTTGATAGGGGGAACTGATATGAAGAAGGGGCAGCAAAGACAGCTAGAGGCAGGACACATAAACACGGCAAAGATAAGCAGAAACAAGTACAGAAAAGCAGAGGTAGACAAACAACATAGCAACAGAGACAGGTAAAGTCAGGACAGACACACACGGCAGAAAAAGACAGGCAAATACAAACAGAGAGGTACAAGAGAAGTCGGAGCACAGAGAAATACAAGAAGAATTCTATTATATTTTTAGATAATTGAAACCATACCGAAATTGAAATTTTTCTTTTATTGATTGGAAATCTCTGATTTTCCACAGCAAATGGCGTAGACAACGTGGGGCAGGAAAAAATTAACACAAAACCTTTAGAAATTTAGAATTCAAAATTTGGTAAGAATTTTATCTTTTTAGTTGTAGTGAACTGTTGTTTTGACTGTGAAAGAGTTTTATTTGGTCAGTAGAACAGTATCTGTGTAAAGTTGTGTGTCTGTTTGTTTATATATTGAGGGGGAAAATTTAAAATTCCGCTTTTATTATTATATATACCATAAAATTAATAGAATACAGGTAAAATAGAATAGCGATAGAATAAGATAACAGAAGGTGAGATTTTCTTATTTTGATGACAGTAACATAGTGTCAATATTGTATGTATGTAGTACCAGTACTGATAATATAAAGTAAATGGATTTAAGAGGGAAAACATAGTTGGGCTGCAGGAAGAACATTAAGAAATGATAGGACAAGAATCTACAGGATGAGAACATTTTTAGAAGAAACAGTTATAGAAGAAAACCAACAGGAAGAAGAAATAAAGATGGAAGATCTAATGCAATTGCTCATTGGAGTGAACATAAGACAAATGGAAAGAAAGAAATATTAAACAAAATGAGGAAGCAATGGGAAACAAGATGAACACCATAAAAGAAGAAATTCAAGAATTTGAGCAGGGTAACAAAAAAGTAATGGATAATAACGTTGAGAAAGTTAAAAGTGAAAAGTTGGAAGAAAGAATAGAAATAAATAAGTAAGAAATAGAAGTTGAAGAAAAAGCAGTAAATAAAGAAAATGAAAAGTACAAATATAGAAAAAGATAGAAATAAGAGTAAATAGAATTTAAAAAATAAAAATTAAAGAATTAAAGCAGGAAGTGAAAAAAAATGAAGGTAATAGAAAACAAATTACAGAATAAATAAGGAGACAAGATACAATAGAGAAGAAAACATATGTGAACAGAAAAAAGAAACATAAAGTTATAGTAACAAAATAAATCTATCTACATCCATGGTTTTAAAACAAAACAAGGCTCAGGATGTGGAATATACTCCAGATTCTTAAATCTAATTATAAAGTGGACTGTAAGCTGCCAGTGTAGTTCAAACAGAGCTAACGGGAATTCTCATAGCAGCAAAAGAAATCACCAGAAACAATATCACTGGAAAGAACATGCTCATCTATACAGATAGCAGACAAGCACTACTCGCCCTAAACAGACCACGAATTTACTCAAGGTTGGTACTAGAATGTCACGAAGCTTTGACCGAAGTATCCATCAACAATGTGGTCATCTTAAGATGGATCAAACGTTACGCCACATCGAAAGGTAACCGTCTTGCTGATTGACTAGCCAAGAAAGCAGCCAACCAAATTCTTTTTGGACCTAGCCCTTCTATTGACCTGACCAAATCGGTAGTGACATACCTAATTAAAGAACATTCCCTTGTGAAATTCAAGGAAAGATAGGATGAAACACGAAACTGCAGAGTTGCCAGGGAGCTCTTAAGTTATCCTGGCAACACTGCAGCAAACAAATACATGACTAGACAGAATCTGCGCCTGGTCACAGGCATTCTGACTGGTCATTGCCAAATACGGATGAAGCATCTCCATATTATGGGGGTGTCAGAATCCGCACTCTACAGAGGGTGCGAACAAGAAGATGAGACCATCAAGCATATCATTTATTAGAAGATTTGTGTTCGGCGAGTATCGGCTAACACCGGCCAATATAAGAGAAGCACCTCTTGGCGACGTTGTCAACTACATTAAATCTGTAGGATGTCTCACGAGCTAGGAGGTGCCTTTCTTCTTAGGAGGATGCACAATGGGCCTAGTGAGACCGAAGTGCCGTGGGGGTAACCCACCCTCCACACGTTACAGATACAGATATAGGACCAGGAAAAAGAAACAAAGTTATAGTAACCAAATAAATCTAGGGTAAAATTAAATCAGATTCAGGGTGATGAAAAGAATAATAGAATAGTAAATAAAAATAAAATAGGAATAAAATTAAAAGAGATGAAAAGCGAGAATGAAAGAAAAAATAGGATATGTAGAGATGAATGTTTGAAAATAATTAAGAATCGGGGAATGACAGAAAAGGAAAAAGTAAGAACAAAGGCAAAAAAAGTAATTCACTTTAGATATGTGGGACTAAAATCTGAAAATTGAAATTGCCTTGAGAACGTGGAAGTCGAATAGGTACATTTAGTAGAATATAGTTAAATATTATAAATAAAAGTAAGAATGAATGTAAGAGAAATTTTACCTGGTACAGTATAGACAATAGAGCAGAAAATAGAGTAGTATGAATTGAATGAGGTAGAAACTAAAGACTTTGTGCATATAAGAAGAGAAATATACAGAAGAAACGTTGGTATAAAAGTAAGAATTTAAAGTTTATGAATAGTTAAATGTTACCAATCCAACAGTTTAATAAATTAAAAAATAAAAATTGAAATTTCAAAAGTCAAAATTACGTTTAATAAATTGGAAACTGATATTATTCATAATATGTTTCTTGCAAAAGTGACATCAATTTGGGGGATTTGATATGGAAATTTCTGGAGCATGACGTCATGAAGTTAAAATTGCAAAAGTGCAAAAACATTTTTAGTTTGAGCTTTTTTAATAAATGTATCTCCAATCGCTCCCAAAATTAAAACTTTTTTCTATACCTATTATATATTAAACGAATTTGTATTTATGAAAAAGTATGTATTTATGAAAAAGTATGTCTGCAAATAAAATTAAAAATAACTATATCAACGGATATTAGAATGATGGAATGAAGAAGTGTGAGAGTATTTGTCTTCTATATTTAGAGATGTCTCGCCAACAACAACCTCATCTGGATTTGAGATTTCCCTAATGACTTCTATTTGCATAGAAGAGCCATACTTTTTTTGAATAGCTTTAACTTCAAACTCATTAATTATATTAAAAATCCTAGATTTCACTTCGGGAATCACTTGCGGTTCGAACGTCTTTACCGTCATAGCCATACTTTTAAAAAATAATAACACAGGATCATCGTCGTCATTTCTCCAATGTAAATTCTGTACATTATCAGCTTCGGATATTTCAGATTCCGGTTCTATTACTTCGAACATGTTTGTACTGTGTGTACTTCCTTCTCGGAGTTTTTTTGGTGACACGGTTGATGAGAATGAGGAAGTTCGTTTTGATGTCGGCCGAAGGGGATCAGAACAATCCATTGAGTTTTCGGGCGATGAAATGTTTCCGTCATTTGACTCGTTGATTTCTTCATAATTGGTTCTATCTTCGGAAGGTTGAGGTCTAAAAACAAAATATTATTAACTGAAGAAGGGCCAACTGCTCAAATGTTTTGAGTCTTAAAGGTAAGAAATGGCTCAAAATCAGTCCCACATAAAAATACTTTATTGATTATAGACAGGTTTCGAGATTATGCCATATTCAGCGCTAAAAGGTTAATAAACGTGAACAATACTGCGTGAGGAGACGTCTCCAATATTTAAAAAGGCTATACAAAAATATTGAATACAATTTATCAACACAAGTGTGACAAAAAAGAGTGTACAAAATTTATTGTGGGTATACAAGAAATTCAAAGGTGGGAAAAAATTGTAAAAATTAGCAGTTAAAAGACAATTGTAAAATGGAAAAAGAAACGTTAAATTTTAACAATACATAACAACCTTAACACAAATAGGTTGTTGTTGTTGTTGTTGTTGTTGCTAGGCAAGTGGAATCAAGATATGCTGTATTGTTCGCGCTTATTAACCTTTTAGACCTGATGATGGCATAATGCCGAAACCGGTTGTCTTATAATCAATAAAGTATCTTTATATGGGACTGATTTTGAGCCATTTCTTACCTACCAAAACATTATTAAATAGACTCTTTGACACAATTTTTAAATAAATAATATGTAACATACAGTTCATCAAATTTCTAGAGGCTTTCGACGGCTAGACAGAGAAAGCACTACTGACAGGCATCCCGACGGATTTACGCAATGAAAGTACACTCTGCGCATCAAGTATTTCACTATTTCATTCAGACGTAAATGTCAGATGTAAATTTCGCTAAAACTTTTCGTTTGTGTTTTTTGCTCATTACAGTTTAATAGAACCTAAGTATGGAGTTTAATAGCAAATTAAGAGGCCGCGTGATTAACAGTCAATCTCGCGAAATAATAGCCAATGTTATAGAGTTTATGAGAAGAGAAGGAAACTTTAATTCACCTTCAATACCATTTAAAAATGTAAATGATCGTGTTGCTGCAGCCACAGGAGTATCTAAAAACACTGTCGTCCGCATTTCTGGAGAGAAAAAAAGAATCGATAACCGTGAGATATCGGAATTTTCATCACCAAGAAAAACCATTAAAAAACCAAAAACAGTTAATGATATAGATGAAGCTGCACAAGAATCAAATTTTATTTTTTTATTATTAGATAGCTATTTTTGTTTCTGAGTTGTGTTCATTTACAGGCTCAATTTTTTTCCGTTTCTCCTTTTTGATTTTATATGGGGTTTCAAGTTGTTTTTGACTTATTTCGACGTAAATCACAACAACACACTTTTTTAATAAAGCAAACAAGTGTTAAGAGGTATATGTACGTGTAAACTACAATTACAAAAAAATGATATGAAACCCATGAAACCACCAACAAAAATGTAAAGCTAGCTTCCGTACTAGAACATGGTGTCATTCGTCGAGATAATTTATCGTTTTGTTTAATAGATCAAGAAATGTAAATATTCCCCTGTTATTTTTTATAAAATTATAAGAGAAATAAATTTTTTTCTAAATAGTATTTTCCTTAATAAGGTAGAAATAAAATATAAACTATTTCCACGATTTACAAAGGCCTACAAAAAAATTATAGGTATTTTCCGCTATCCTATAAAATTTATATTTTCTGACTCAATTTCAAAAGGTTGAAGGAATTCCAAAACACCTTTTATGGCATAATAATTATTTTCAATTCTACATACTATCTTTAGCTGCTTTTAAAAACGTTCTAAGAAAGTCCAATCAGACCAATTTAATCCCTAAACTATTCCACACTTTTAAAATTTAATTACCTAAAAATATTAAAAACTATTTAAAATAACTTGTTTAGCAGACTGTACAATAGCTATCTTAGTCACACGTAGCGCGTTCTCTGTCTGGGCGTCGAACACCTCTAGAAATTTGATGAACTGTAAGCGGTGCTGATCAGTTTTAGTTACTTTTTTAAATCAACATTTTGTACATTATGTTTTTATTTGCTTCATGGTAAAACAGCGCAGGGCAAAATAAAGCAGGACGGAATAGCGCAATGACAAAATAACGCAGGACAAAATAGCGTAGAACAAAAAACGCAACAAAATATTTCAATATTCTAATTAAAATTAAAAAATACTTAATTAATTTACCTAACCTGAGCGGCCTGGAGCCATATCAAGTTGTTTCGAGAAAAAAAATATACAAAAAAAGAGAAAAATAAAAAACTTGAAAAATTTACCTAACCTGTGCGGTCTGCGACCATATACAGCAACCCGAGATGGCTTTTTTAATTTTATTTGAAATTTAGTCGCGAGCTAATGTGTCTCGCTCTTTTTTGACTAAGCGGTTACTTAACTCACTATAATTTGACCAGATGTTAATTGGTCTCACTTTTTTTATACCAGGCGCTATTTTTTTCTCATGTAATTGCCCCTGCACAAATTTGTAACAGCAAAATTGTCCTACGCTAAAATGGATCGGATCATACCATGTGAGAGAGACGGAGCTACATTCCAAACATTCACTGCATAGGTGTCGTCGGAACAGTAATTTTTACGCATTATTTCAATGAATTACATTAATAATTAAAAAAAATATCTTGTTCGTTTACGGTATTTTGTCCTGCGCTGTTATGTTCTTGCGCAATTTTGTCCTTGCGTTATTTTATCCTGCGCTATTTTGTCTGGCGGTTTTGTCCTGCGCCATTTTGTCCTGCGCTGTTTTATCATGGAACCATTTTTATCATTTAAACATAGTTTAGATAGATTTTTTGAATTCAAATATAAGGCGTGAACCATAAATGGATGGAATATTCCTGCAATTTACGGTATTAATCAAAAAAATACTTTTATAGGCGTAGAAAAAAGTTATTCTTTGACTGTAGCGAAGTAAGACAAATCAGATGAATAAGAAGATTGAGATAATAATTTACCGAGGTAAGACGTAAAAGACAAGTAGTTACTTTTAATAAAATAAGGATGAATATTTACAAAGCCATCATCATAGAAGATATTCCTAAAAACATATTTAACTATAACAAAAATTTTAAGAAATTTCAATCAATATGTACAAGGTATCCCAGAATATGTGAGTAATCTCCCGGATTTACATAAGAACTTTTTATATAGGTACCTACTTTCTTTGTTTCTACATACAATACATTAACTTGCCGATATTGACTTCAGGATAATGGTATAGAAACACAATACTATTGAATAGACAGAAATATAATATTGCATCGCCGAGTGCGGGCTGCAATATACCCATCCTTGATATCGAAAATGTGTACTTAAACCAAGTTACTCTGTTTATGCCTATAAGGTTCAAATATGATTAAACGTCTCATCTTTATTTTTGCCTGATGCCTTGGTTAACGTACTGTATATCCTTTTTGTTTATAATGAACATAAATTGTGTATAATTAGTAATTAAAAACTTATAAAGCCTTTTATGTCATCGTTTTATACCATTGTATAATTTTTTTGACCAGTGTATCTACATAATCAAGTTTGATATAAACTTACCGTCGTTTGGATGGGATTTTGTCCAAAAAGGTTAGTTGTTCTAACAAAGGCCATCTAGATTTCGAGCGTGCACCGTTTTTCGTTTTATTTCGTTTTAATTTGAAATATGTGTCTTTTATATTACGCCACCTCTTCTTGCATTCTTCAGCTGCAAAACATAATTCATAATTCGTTGAAGATAACATTTTTTTATAATCATCAGAGCAGGTATATCAGTGAAAAATTGTAGCATATTTCATACTGTTGGCTGAAAGATAAAATAGTATATTACGTAACACGAGTTGTAAGTAACCCATTACGCACGAAGTAAAAAAGTTTACGCACGAAGCCGCGCAGCGGCGATTGCATAAATTTCACGAGTGCGTAATAGGCTTACAACTACTGTAACGTACTATACTTTTTCTACGCCCAATAAAGGACATATACTTGTGTCGCCAATCCATAAATTTTCGATACGTAATTTCGTACCTTTTTTTGGATTTTAGCGGTAAGAAATTATGTATGGCAGCTTCAGCTTTTTCTAATATTTCATAAATTCACCACTTTCACTACTAACAGATATATTCGTAGGTAAAGTTAAGATAATGTTCGAATACAATAATGTTTTGTAACAAAAATTGACAATATAACGTTTATTTTGGAAAGTTTTCAGGAGGAATAAAAAACAACTAGTTCATGTAATTAAAATAACGAATATTCCTCAGGATAACTGAAGTACTCTGATACCTTACATTCGAAAATTTTTTGCTTAGTGAGCGAAATGGAAATTGATATAGGTACAACAAATTGGTTTTTAATTTAACGCATTTTCTGACATACCACGACGATATATGCATTTGTAAATCTAATATTGAATATATTCTTTTGAAATCGTTAGTGAAAAACAAAGAGAAAGAGAAAATCTCAAAGTCCGTGTCACAGCAAAATTGAGCGACCGTTTTCTTCGTGAAAACAACTACTTCCTTGGCTAATACCGTACCAGGCATTATTATATCAAAAGGAATGAATCGTTAGGCTAATATGCATTTCTTGTAGAAATATAATTGATATACCTATGTAAATATGGAATACAAAAGTGTCCAAATAACATTCGGGTCGGTAGTGTAGCGGTCTAACGCGCCGTTATTCATTTATAGGCAAGTTTATGAGTCTGAGACTGCTGGGCTTCGAATCCCAGACCAGACCATGTGGATTTTTAATTAAATTGCATGGTTCGGTTTAGGATTTGATGTGTGTCGTATTAATAGAAATTCAATTTCTGTTGATATGACATGCAGATTAAAAAATCGCCATGCATTGCCGTCTCGATGACGGTGGGTGAGGTTTTCCGGGTTTTCCTCACCTGTAAGTCAAATGCCACCATCAATCATCTTTAAGTCGCCCCGGAGGGCCACGGCAAATAATAATAATAGCCGTCCCTTCCCCTACACAAGTCGTTCAGTGGACTTCAGGGGTTAAAATTCACTCGTAAGGGGGTGAATTAGGGAGAGTATTATTATTATTCAGTCTGCTCTACTAAAAAGTTGATAAGAATGACTATAGTTTACCTCCAAGGCACTGATTGTGGGGGTCATGTAGTTAACCTGGTGTACGAATGAGATTAAAAGGTTTTACTTTTTCTGACAAATATATTTTGTTATATTTTTAAATATCATCTGTCTTCTCTAAAACTAAAAATCACCTGGTAACATAATAAAAACAAACAGAGGCGGTACACTACACTGATTTCCCATTAAATAATTTTCAAAACTTTGACTTTATCATTTTTTTATTGTGTCTATTTTTTTAGTCTATTATGTTATTGTTTTAGCCTTGATTATATTATTATTATACTCTTCACACAGTAGTCTACGAAGAGTATTATAGGTTTACTTTGTCCGATGTCTCGTTTTTTGTCTGCACGATAAGTCAAAAACGAAATATGATATCAACTTGAAAATTTTAAGCAAAAAACTAGCTCTATAAGGGGACAAAGCCTATTGATTTTGAATAAATCTGATTAAAAATAAGGGAATAAGGGTTGATATTAAAAAAAAATTCTAAATTAAAAACGAAAAACAAAAAGCGATAACAACATGAAATTTCAGCAAAAAAGCTCTATAAGGAGAAGAAGCCCTTAGATTTTGAAAAAAAATCTTATTTAAAATAGGGGTTTAAGGGGGGTTAAAAGTAAAAATCATAAATCAAAAATGAAAAGCGAAATCAACATGAATTTTTTAATAAAAATCAAACTCTATAAGGAGTATAAAAAGTATTTTATAAAAAACAAAATTATTAAGTATTTTAATTGACATGTGCGACATGTGAAAATTATTAAATTTACAATGAAAACTGAAAATCAGTAGGTAAAATTTCATATAAATATGGTTACACAAAAATCAATGTCAACTATTTGAATAACTTGATAAATGTTAAAAAAATAAGACCAAAACATAAAAGAAAGTCAGCTAACTATGACTAAGAATGTTTATAGATGTGGTTTTCAAAGTATTAAAAACAAAACAAATATTACAATAACTGAAATATTAATTTTTTAACCTAGCAAGGCACCAATAATCCTATCTTCTTTAATATAAATAGTATGTGTGCCTACAGGCGGCTATTTTTAAATAGGCAGAGTAACCTGGAGGGTATTCAAATTTCAACATCTCAAATGTGCCCACCTTCAATAATAAAATAGACAGACCCGACGAAAGGGGGACAGGGGGGACAAATTCCTGGGGCTCGGGCACAAGGGGGCCCGGCAGCTTTAGTTGAGGACGTATAATTTTTTTTAGAAGTTCGCCACTTAGGGTAGGATCTGGTTTACGAAAAATACACAAAGTGAGTTTTTTTAGATTTCTCTAAAAAAGGATCTGATTTTGCTTGAAGGCCTTTTTTTAGAAATGTCACATAGAAAGGACTTGTTTTTCTATAAAAATGACCCGGGGCCCCACCCTGGCTCTCGGCGGCCCTCTTAAAAAACACAAAAACAATCCTATATACAATAAATAAATTTAAACGGCCTAAGAGCCATTATTAGCCCCAAAATAATAAAAATGTTAAATTAAGTACATGATAAAAGAGATTAATCTTGAAAAGTAAACATTAAAATCATGAAGAAAAGATTCGCAAGTCAAAAATAAGAACGAAAACACAAAAATAAAAATCAGAAATACGAAAAAAACAAACACCAAAAAAACAATACAACAAAAATGTTAGTTTAAACTTCTTTTATAATGTATTTAATTTAATTTTTAAGCTAAATTTTAGTTTAAATTTATTTAAATAATTAAATGTATGTGGGATTGTATTTTTATCTGATATATGTCCAGGCACGGATACATGAGGGGGGTATAGGGTAATTACTCCCGAAATCCTGAATTTTTTAATTTGTTACCTCGAAATTTTACGAGAAAGTCAAAAACTAATTAATAAAAAATATGGATTGATTTTTCTCTGCGTATTCAATATCTATTTTATAAATATATATTATTTATCAACCATTCATATTTAATTGTTTTTAAATTAAATTGTAATTAATAAAAATAGTTATGACTATTAGTTTAAAAAAAAAAAAACTGCAATATTATGAGATTTGAACCAGAGACCTTCTTGGTCGGAAGCAAAAGCGATACCACTGCGCTATGACAGTAACCGTTATAATTTATCCCAAACTCTTATAATAAGGGAACTTTTAGTTTCATTCTTTTCTAATGTCAAAACTTGCTAAAATCAAATTTAACAAAAAAAGCTTGAATGTAATTATGCAGTCTTAAATAAATATAAAGTACTTACTAGGTCTTTCTACACTACCAGATATTTGGTCCCAACAACTTTCACGCGTATTACGATCCTTGTAATCCCTATCGTCGCTATCATACAAAGTACGAAAGGCGGCCACACACTCTACCAATTTTTCGTCTTCTTTAGCACTGAAAAAGTACTTTCCAGCCATTTTAGGTGCATTAAAAGTATTGTTATTGTTGACCTATGCATGTAGAATGTAAAATGTAGACTGGCTACGTATCAAGCCGACAAGCGGTTTGGTGACGCATGCGTCCAACGCAAACCGTAGCGTCAGTTCGCATCGCATGGAATAATCTAACACGTAGGTAGGATTTATTTTTCATTTTTCAGTTGAATAGATCGTTGTCTGTGTTCGAGCGTCTCAGTGAGGGTACGGTGCTGGCAAATTCTACCTAAAGCCCTTCCTCATAGTTTTTATAATTAAAAAGGTATACTTACCTGCTTACGTAGATCAATATTTCTATGCGGGACATTTTAACTTCCTCTTTTCCGTAATAAATTTTAGTAAATTTTATAAACATTATTTTATTTTTATTTTGATATTATATGGAGTGAATCACAAAAAAGTGTTTCTAAAGTAGAAATTTAAAAAATCCGGTATGTGGAAGTCGAAGCCTAAAATTCTTTTTTCAGTTTGAATTTAATTTAGGACCCTGTTTAGTTAGCACGAACATCACTCGTATCATCTGTCTTAATCGGTCATGGCCTACTTTAGATACATTTTTGGTGAAACAGTCTTTATTTTCGATGACGAGGTCTGGATATAGGTAGGTACCTATTTCTATCAGACATTAGAACAATATTTTCACAAAAACATATACCTACTTTTACTTTTGCTTATTTTGATTATTATTTACAGGGGTTCCAATAAAAACTCGCAGATATATTTGAATTCAATAAAAGCCAGCTACTAAAAATGTATATACGTGCCTTAAGCTTTATTGTTGTCTGTGTTTTATGTACAAATAATTTTTGGTTTTTTTAAAATGGCGATAAATCGCACATTATACTGTTAAAGACTATTAATGAATGATACTGTAAATGGAGCAATTAGAAACGTGTTTTAAGAGTAGTAAAAGAGTAATTTTATTTTTTGATTATAGTCAGTATCTTTTAGAAAATTAATATAATTTTGAACTGGAGAGCTTTCGCCTATAGTACGAGAATTTTTAATTGAGTGTGACTCCACGCTCTGCCCAGTGTGACGTAACGTACGACGTACACGGAAAAAAATCACTAACCGTTAACGAACTTTTACTTACTGCAGATAAAAAGTTATATACTATATGGGACAAGTAAAATGTTTAATTATGGTGGGTAAAATAAGATTTCTGAAATTATTCACTTGTGGTTAGTAAATAGTTTAATTACTTATTAGGCGAGCTACTCTTATTGAACTATTTACTTACAGTTACTGATTTTAGTTATGTGGATATTAATTGTGTATTTTACTGCTAGTAAAGTTTTTACTGTGGTAGATTTTTTGATTTATTTAAAACTATTAAAGTGTATTTCTACAATAGAAATTGAAGTATTTAAATAGATTTTCTCACTTCGTTAACGCATTTAAGTTCAACCCTTAGCAACATAATTTTGAGAAAAACAGTTTAAATTCCCTGAAATGTTTACTTGTAGGTAGATTTATGATCTTAAATTATTTATCGACTTTAAAACATTGTTTATCATTATTATTGTTATTATTATCTAGAAAGTATTAGATTTTTTTAAACCTTTATTAAGTACAGTGGCTATGGATACCCACTAATGCAATTTATAAAAATTTGAGTAATTAGATGTTTTAAAATAATATCAACTGTTACAAAAATATGAAAAGGGACAATATAAAAATAATTTAAAAATATCGCAGTTAAAAATACACGATTGATGTATCAAAAAAAAACATAATGTACTTACATAATAATAATAATGACAAATAAAAATAATAGGCGTCCCTACTCTACACAAACTCTACTTCTGGGCCTCTGGGGTTAAAATTCAATTGAATCGGAATAGTATTAATATTATTATACTTTAAATGGCACAAATTTAATACGCTCATGAACAAATATTTAATACTTTGCATTGATTTGTACCACGTAAAAATTATTTCCAACTATTTCTAAGAACGATTTTTGTTAAAAAATAACAGATAAATAAATTGTTTCGTAGATATGGCTGGCGTCCTTTCTTATTTATTTTAGACTCTTAGCACCTACACTGTAGATTGACTATGTTGAATTAAGATTGCTTAATACAAAATTGAAATACAAATAATTTGGATACCCAGACAGCACACCAAATCCTTTGGATATGTACTGAACATCCCAATATCCACGGAATGTCCAGTCCATGGTGGATATCTATTTTATATCCATGAAATGTAATTTATAGACATGCAAATGTCCATAAATAATAGTAATTATATAGCAAATTATTAAAAAATTACGCCATTGTGGCTAATAGTACCGTCCAGATATTTAAAATTAATTTTTTTAAGGTGTATTCAATATCCCATGGACATCCACTAAATATATCAAAGTCTAAGCGCGGACGCAAACCATCGTGGATATCCACTAGATGTAATTTTTTATTTTGCTTCCTAAGTATAGATGGCGATACCACTTTCGTATCTACTCATGCTCAACCCGCCGTAATTGAGTTCGATCGACATTTTTTTCACAATCAGACTCCATTAGAGACTGGAGTCGAGAATTTCCATTTATTGCTGAAGAGTCCTAATAAGGATGACTTTCTCCTTAGTGCCCTTAGTGGGCAAAATCAAAGGCAGTTTGTTGGAAATATTTTTTATCTCTATTTTCTTTAGACATTATTCAATAATCATTGGTTATTTATGAACCTCTACTAAAGATACCTATAAAATATTTTGCTGAATATCTGAATTCTATATCCTGGGATATAGACGGGCATTTGGTTGGATATCCACAAAATATATTCTGTGGATATCTGTGGAATTTCTTGTATTGTCGTGAAGATACTCATTAGATATTTTGCTGAATATCCATAGGATATCTTCTATATTCTGTATATAGACGGACATTTGGATATCCATATTAGATCCACGGAATATTTCTGATATCCTGTGGATATATTGGATATCCACAAAAGATATTCTGTGGATATCTCTGGGATTTGGTGTGTTGTCTGGGTACCTACTAATTTCATTAGGTATAAAACTTAAGTCAACAGCCTGCCATTGAAAAGAAGCTTGTGTATTATAAAAATCTAATTGTGTAATCTACCGCAAACAGGTACCTTAATAATTTATTAATTCCATTTATTAAATAAAATAGTGCATTCTTATTAAATTCAAAATCCTTCATTTAACGAAAAATCTTCCTGATAATTAAATCTTATTTACAACACCTAATAAATAATATCTATAACCCCGTCTATAACAGATCCAATTTTGGTGCACGTGTCTGGGAACCCAGCTTAAGAAACACTTGATACACTTATCTTAAGTGCGTTTGAATAGTAACGTTGTTTTCGATACACAAAATTTTCAAAGCAAGTAATAAATCAGCCACCCCTTTTCCACCCAGATACGTTTTTTACTGGGAACTAAGACACACAGAGACGTCACAAAAAGCTATTAAAACTAGTTTAAGAAGCCAGACCCAAATGAGCTTGGATACATTCATTTTTTATTATTTTATGTGCAAGCATTCATTTTATTATTTTACATTCAAGCAATCACTTTATTATTTGTATCCAGTTATAAACGACGTCTATCCTACAATACCGCCTATCCCCGAAGGTGTCAACATCTCGACGCCCAACGTCCTGCCGTCCTACTTCCCTACCTTTCTACGCTATCACTTCTAGAAATACTTTAATATTTCCTACCATTATATTCATCCCTCGCTCAATATCCAGACGCCCTACTTCCCTACCTACCAACGTCTCGAAAGCTGGCACATTCCGCATCATCTAAGTATTTTCTACCTTCCATTCATTCCGACGCCCAACGTCCCATCGCTCTACTTCTCGACGCTTGCTGCCCGTAAATATTTCCTTCATAATATCCATCATCACGTCCCGCACCACCTAATTATTTCTACCGTATATCTGTCCCAATGCAGTACCGTATATTTGTTTCAATGCATTACCGTATTAAGTACCTTCCTCTTTAACACGACGCTAGACGCCTCGATGCAAGGCGACACTCAACGCTGCGACATACCTAAATCGACGCCGTCACAAAGCTAGATGAAATTAGTACATAATCTAATGTCTATATTTTCAATGGTGAGTTAAAAGATTTATGTACCTTTCTTTGAGATACCACCGGGGTCGTTTAGACGATGGCCTGACATTTTATTCAAATATCAATGTAACCAATAAACCATATGACCTTCAGTCGTTCACCCCGAAAGACAATTAGGTTAGTCATCTGTTTTCGGGTGAATTTAAGTTAATTCAATAGAAATTATGAAAAGCAATATTAAGAAATATACATGGTTGTATTAAGTTATTTCAAAAGAAATTATAATAATCAATATTAAAAAATATACAAGGTTGTAGTAAGTCATTTCAATAAAAATTATAAAAATCAATATTTTAGAAATATACAGGGATGTGCTATCTTGTAAAAATTGTACAAACCGAGATGGTAAAATTTAACAGTAAGTTAACCAATTGGTGAATACACTGTTCGTTAGCTCAAGGGGGACACTTATATGCTAAGGCACCCATTCTACAAGGTTTGAAACAAATTATATGTGAAATCAACATAGTAAAGTAACCAACTGGCGAATTGGCGCTGTTCGTTACTTCCGTTGGTCATCACCTCTAGACTCGTCGAAATATTTACCTAAAAGGGTACAACCTGTGTACATCTAGAATAGAATCAAATCGACATCAACACAGTAGTTAACCAACTGGTGAATTGACGCTGTTCATTAACTTCGTTGGTCATCAACCTAAATAAGAATATAAACATCAACACAGTAGTTAACCAACTAGCGAATTAGCGCTGTTCGTTAACTCCGTTGGCAATCAACCCAAATAAAATATATATTGATAGCAAATGAACGTGGTCTGCGTTGGAACGGGACTCAAGTGAGATCTCAGTAAATAGTAACAATTGTAATATACTTTTCTAAAAATAAAAAGAGTTTAAATATGAATTTGTATGTTTTATTTATCCATTTGCATCGAATACTGGTTTATCGTAATTAACATTATCACAACGTGGGTATATAAATTATCAATTAATTTACTAGGCGATTACTTTTACTACTAGAGGAAAAAGGTCAAAATACAGTAAGTATAAAATAAAATATAATAAACTTGTGAGGTAAATAATAACATTTCAGAGAGTAAAACAACGATCAAATGGGGGTACCGGGGGTAGGCCGTCATAAAATCACAATAATTGAAAAACTTATAATGGCTCTATATCTAAAAAACTAAAGATAATGGTATCACCAAAGGCCTAAAGCCGGTTTTAGTATAAGAAATGGAAACTTAAATGACAAAATACATAACTTACTCCACATCAACCCCCTGTGCGCCACCTACATCAACAAAAATAAATACTTACCTGTCATTTATGTCATTTTTATATTTAAATTCTTATACGCCTATGCGATGAACCTGTGAGAAACAAGTCTCCGAGTTAAATCTGTAAAATAATCAATGAAAAACCAAATTTACTACTACATACTACAAATATCGATTTTCTTACTGCGCGGTAGTTAGATTTCACATTTCGTATGAGAACGAATGCATTACTACTGTACAGAACTCCGTAAACTTGGCTGCACTGTTCAATTAGAATATTGCGTTGCTGCCAAGGACACTTAGATTGTGAATACGTGTTGGCTTCAAAATTTTTGTAAACAATCCTATCTGTCTTGGTTATATGATTAATACCTACACGTGTATCACCTAACCTGCCCTGCAAGCTGTGACCGTCCGGTACGAAAGACAATACAAAAATACTTAACAAGTTAACGCAAATAAGTAATCAGATTAATCGACTCTTAGTTCGTTGATGTTTCGGTGATGATCGGGGCTTACTGTATTAAAGCAGTCGCTAGCCGTAAGTGAATGTTTTATAACCATAAGTAAAAGTTAACTAATGATAAATATATGTGATTTTGTGGTTAATAAAGCAGCTTCAGAAACATTATTTGTGGTTTGTAAGCAGGTGCCTAAGTTAACTGTTTACTAGGGGTTATTAAAAAACCTCATTTTAGGAAACTTGTTTACTTATGTGTACAAACATATTAATAGCGGAAAGTGGCAGAAAAAACATTCGTTACTATTTTTAAATTGTTACTTTACACATTTTTAATTTGTTTTTTTTTAATAATTCCTGATTTTCCAAAATATTTTGGATTTTCGAATGTTTCTCTTTCATATCGCATACCAGTCTAAATAATTAATTCGATATATTGTTTATTGCAATAACTTTATCAAGACAGCGATATAAAAGTCTGCTTTTTAATTTGATAATGTTGAATCCGTTACTCTAAACAATCTGACCTAGCTATTATAAATGTAAATATTTATTATCAACAAACCGGGCTGGCATTGTTTGAATAACTTTGATGTTGTTTTGCTGCAATTATAAATTATTCATTTTTTGTTCTTAAAAAAATAAATCACTAGCAAATTAAAAAAAGTTAGTCCGCATCTGTCTTTGTGAATCACTTCAAAATATAAATGTGTTAATAAAAGCGAGGTATTTATATAAAACTTGTGCTAGGATTATTATAAGACTTTATTTAAAAAAATTATCAAACGGGTTTTCTAAGTAAATATAATTTTAAACTAGTGACAAAATACGACATAATATTTTTTATGTAATTGTGACTGTTATCTACAGCAGACCTATTAAAAAAAAAACAATCTAAGATACCCCGTCATAAATTCGAAAACGTTGATAAATGGGTTCAAAAGTCATACAACTGATTTGATAAATCAAGTTATAAGTATTTTATGATTTTTATAAATATATCGAGGACAAAATTAACTGGAAAACAGTTAACATCCTTCTTGAAAATGACAGAACATTTAGTGGTTTCTACAGAAAATGGAAAAATCAAAGGCAAAGTAGGAAAAGACTATCATGGTGGAAAATTTTATAGTTTTAGTGGAATACCGTACGCAAAAGCACCTGTTGGAGAACTCAGGTTCAAGGTAAGAGAAATAACAAAATTTAAAAATAAATAAAAAATAGTTAATTTTTATTTTTATTATCTTCTTCTTTAAATTACTTATGTAAATTTTTAATCCTTTAAATTTAGTTATTTTGTTTCAATTTTAAATTTAAATTTTAAAATTAGCTTATAATATTAATATACAAAAATTTGCAGTATCATTTCTGTTATATTGCGGTAAATGATTGAACAATTTAAAAGCAATATAAGAAAATGATTGTGATACAAATATCTTTATTGAAGTAGGTAACCATAATATACAAACATTTTTTTTTGAAATGTTACAAAAGAAAGACTCAAATTCAAAATACAAAATATGGAAAAAAATACAATTTATGACTGAACAAAATAGAAAAAAAAACAAAATATAAAAGTTCAAAATAAAAAATTATAAAATATATACGGAATATACAGAAATATACGCATCGATACCATCAAATAAAATATTTAAAAAAAATTAGCACATTTAATCAACATTTACACTTATCACATCAATCATGAATATGTTTCATAATTTTTTTTTAATTTAATTAAAATATTTACTAAACAATAAAAAATTATCAAGTTCAAAGCTAAGGTATTTAGTTGATGTTACAATATAATTGTTCTCATCGTTAATTGTAAGATTAATTGCATTTAAATTTATATTGTTATATTTATATTTAGTAGTCATTATCATAGCTTTAGTTTTTGATACATTAAATAATTATTAGCATATTTTAGATCCCGATTAATTTTTTGTACCGCATTTTCCAAATATCACAACAAGCCATTAAAGAATTATCTGGAAATATATTTGTAAAATCACAATCAACAAAGATGTTTAAATCATTTTAAGATAAATAAAGCGGTCCTAGGATGCTACTACCTTGGGGTCAGAGCGGGTCAGAGCTGGGCAGTGCTCAAGTAAATTGTACTCAAAATTGTTTTCGAGTACTCAAAGAACTCAGTAATTGGTACTCGTAAGTACTTTCATCCTGATGGGACTCATACTCGAAAAATTTCAAATACTTTACATTTTAAAGTACTTCTGATTCCTTCAGCTGACGAGTAACGAGTAAGAATGCCCATGCGCGCATATATTAAATATAACTAAATAAGTGTAAAACATTTAAGGGGGTGATTCCTCATCGAAAAAAAGATAGGATCTTTCATATAAAGAAACTTCATTGGAGCATCCCTTGTTAAGATACAGCCCCTTAAAGGGGGTACATAAAATTTGTTTAACAATTTTTTTCACAAGCACTAAACAAGTTACAATATTGAAATTAACCTGACATTTTCTACTACCAAAAAGACACTTAGCTAGTAATTTATTTGGTTTACCTCATGGTTGTAAGGGGTGAAAAACGCAACCCCTAAAATTTCGTTCCAACGTAACTTTTTGTCTTATTATTTGTTTACCTTTTAAAATTTTATGTCCGATAGCCTGTTTCATTCTAAACAAAAAATGTCTCTTGAATTTTTTGACCAAAATAAAGCAGTTCGCAGCAAAAAATTATTCCAGTTCGCATTTATGACGATGTATCTCTGTAGTTGTTCGTAAAATAATTTTTTGCTGCGAACTGGTTTATTTTGGGCAAAAAATTCAAGAGACATTTTTTGTTATTTGTTATTTAACATTTATAGCACTTCCAATGTTAATGTTCAAGTAAGAAAAAATTGTTAATTAATTAATCTTAATTAACAGGAAAATAGCGATAAAAATTTTTTGACCACGAATTATTGTTTATTCATATATCCAGTAGAAGCTTGAATTTTTTTCAATTCGTAATTTTCATATTTAATAAGTTTAAATAATATTTATTCATTAAAGATCCTCAGTGGGCAAAGCTTACGCAAACCAGAGTCTCCATTTTCGGCCGTATTTTCAACCCTCTGGGAAAATTATAAATATTGATCCTACAATTCCGGGTGATAAAACTTTTTTTGGGAAAATTTCCTCCTCTTTTTGAATCTTTTTTCAAATTTCAAAAATATCAAATAGTTTTTGAGATATTTGCAAAAAACCAAACCCAATTTTTTTCAGTTAATTGTTTTGTAATTTTTGCAAGCGGCTTTTGATTTTTTTTCAAAAATCGCCACCCTACACGCTCTTCCAAATCGAATGACACCTCGTTCATAATATAATAATTATTATATGTGATACATTAAGTGGCGGATAAATAACTTATATATTTGTTTAGGCTCCAGAACCTGCAGATCCATGGGAAGGAGTCAGAGATGGAACCAAAGAAGGTCCAGAATGTCCTCAAATGTTTCTCAGGCCCAAGTTTTATGTGGGTAAACAAGATAATTGTTTAAATCTGAATGTGTACACAAAAGAGGCAAGTAACTACATATAAAATAAATATGTGGTCAAAATTCATGGTCATAAATTAATTATTTTTTATTTCGTCAAAATACTAGTTATTTATTTTGTTTATTAAGTAATTAACTACGCTAATATATTCAAATACTGGCTAACTATAGCAATTACTTTTCCATTTAAGCTGGATACAAATTATTTATTAGTAACATTATTGGTTTCCATAAAGTCAAATTATAAAAATTATAAAAATAACACAGGTCCACAAAAAAAAAGTGGTCTGTGCTGGGTGTTCGACAAAGATTTTCCGACGTATTTTTTACCGCTGAACACGAATCTGAAGTCAAAATTGGGGGCCAAACTGCAAAAAACGGAGAAAAACTAAAAAAACCGATAAGATCCATTTGATTTTATCGGTTATTTTAATTTTTCTCCGTTTTTTGACATCATGATGATTATTCTACCAATCTGCATTTAAGAAGCAGTAGCCAATAAACTAAAACTTTCACTTTCAAAGAAATTACAGAAAATCCTTTTTTCGTTTTATTCCCTCAATAACTGCCGAAAATACGGAAAAAAAACTATTAGGGACCAAAATGTTTCTAAACAAAACAGCAAATTCATTTTGCTTTTTAAAATGATCCAGCAGCGCTACGCAAAAAAAGTATAGGGGAAGAATAAGGAGCAAGACCCCTGAAAAAAATATCATCTTGTAGATTATTTAGTATGGCCAATTATGTAAACCCTACAGTGCAACCTAACCTCCAAATTTGAACTAAATATATCAAAAACTGCTAGAGCTATAAACAAAAAGAAATCTTAAAATTTCTATACCCTGTAGATCGGTTACCAAACGTTTGGGGACCTATGTATGTTTATATGACATTTTAGTCAAGAAAAAAGCCGTATGTACAAGATATTTAAAAACAACCTGTATTTAGGTAACTTTCATTTATATTAATTTCAGTTACCGAAAACGGACGATACGAAGAAGAAACCTGTAATGGTATTCATTCATGGTGGTGGATTTATATTTGGTTCAAATAAGAAAAATTTTTTTGGGCCTCAATACCTGTTGACAGAGGACATAGTTCTTGTCATACCTAATTATAGATTGGGAGTTTTAGGTAAGTTAAAATTAAATTTTGAAAATTTTGTTATTGTAGTGAAACTTTGTTTTAAGGTTTTTTGAGTTTGGAGGATACATCTTTAAACGTACCTGGAAATGCTGGACTTAAGGACCAAGTGATGGCACTAAAATGGGTTCAAAAAAATATTCACCATTTTGGAGGAGATGTTAATAATGTTACAATTTTCGGTCAAAGTGCTGGTAGCGCTTCCGTTCATTATTTAACACTCTCAAAACTTACCAAAGGTACGTGCAATTAAATTTACATATATATTAAATATTATGGTCACTGGGAATAATCGGATAAGTGTCAAAATAAGAAAACTTTAATAAATCGTATGATTTTATGCACTAGTTCTTCACAGAAATGAACAAAAGTATGGTGTGATCAAAGCTGGGCAGTACTCGAGTAATTTGTACTCAAAATTGTACTCGAGTTATCAAAGTACTCAGTAATTGGTACGCCTAATTGGACTCATATTCAAAAAATTTCAAGTACTTTACATTTTAGAGTACTCGGTACATCTGATTCCTACAGCTGACAAATAGTGAGTACGAGTACTGACGCTGGAAAGGTTAAACCATTCCAATATTCTAGAGCTTTTAAGGAGCCACAACTCCTTTGGCTTCTTATAAAAATAAAAAATAAATAAATAAAAATAATACTAATTGAAAAACGTTAAATTTGAAAAAAAAAGTAAATCTTTTGCTTCGCTTCGTTTCTTTCTTTTTGCTCCTGGTTTTTCTGCCTTCTGATCTTACTCCTGACTTTCTATACCTCCTGTTCTCCTGTCCGATCTTCACTTGTTGTTTTTCTCTACTTTTTTCTCTTATTACTCCTTCTTCTGAACTCTCCTTCCTGCTAAGTTCTAATTCATCTTGATATTCAATTCGCACTTATCTTCCATTTAAATAAAACTTTCTTTTTTCATTCTTTTTTTTTTATTTCATCTCTACGAAGTAAAATCTTCAAATTTAATATCTATTTATCTATCTATCTCAACTTCAATATATTTTCAAACTTTTTTTAAATTTCCCAACTGACAATTGTAAAACCCCCTGACAATTATCCCAAAATATATTTGCAAATTCTAGTAATTTTTAAAATGTCATTGCAATCGGCGTTACAACCCTAAGAATATGTCAAATGAAGGAATCATGGCAATATACGTTTTAAAATATATTACTGTTCTTTTGAGCAGTCTCTATATGTATCTCTGCCCCTAACTAATACCTTTATTACCTTACTTTAACATTAAAATGAAAAAGTTGGGTGTACTAATGGTTAATGGTAGGTGCTAACCAATTCATAGAAGATACTAAAGATATTCTCATTTTTGTTTGTTACTTACTGACTTATTAATTATTGTTAATTCTTCTTCCTAAACTTGAGTCACTAACATAATTATTTAAAATACCCATACTCGTTACTAGATGTTTCACGAGTACTTTTTAAAATTTGCAAAAGTACTCATTTGCTTTGGGTATTATTCATATAAGTAGTCATACTCAGATACTTATTAGTACTTTGTAAATCTACTCATTGTGAAATACTCATGAGTACGTTAACGCAATACTCTGTCCAGCTGTGGAAGTAATCCACAACAAATGTTTCTAAAGTAGGTCATAAAACAAATCGTTTATATCTAAGCTCACAGTTCTTATTTTTTAGAAAAGATTGATTATAATTCAGAGGCCTACATAACTATCATGCACACGATTCTTATCTCAGTCTTGTTCATGGGTGATCTCCTACTTTAGAAACATTTGTGTGGATCGCTATTTATAAAATAGTTATGCATCTGTAAGGAGAGGAATATGAGTTACACCCCCCATAACCCTTAGGCTCATTGTGCATCCTCCTGAATCGATGAGGTCTCTCTTAGATTTAATGTAGTTGACAATGTCGCCGAGAGGTGCCCTTATCAAACAATGAAGTGAATAAAAAAAAAGATATCTCAAATAATTTGTACAAAAAAGTATCACCTTCCTTATTTCCCAAGAATTGCTAAATTCTATCAGAGTTTTTCGTTTTTGGTTTTTCATTTACTTATTATTTGTTATGAAACGTTATCTAACCGAATTGATTGCTATACAAGGACGTTGTGGCGGATCCAAACCTGAAAAGCATATCTGCTTTATCTAAGACTGTTATCGAGCTATTTTACTTTTTTATCAATTGTGAGTTTATTACAATGAATGTTTTTATCGAGTACCTACACGTTCCGTAAATTTTTGCGTCTGAATGAAATCAAATAAAATAATTGTATGCAAAATGATTTATATTTGGATATTTATTTTAATCGAGAAATAATATGAAAATGTTATACCATAATGATAATAATAAGAAAAGTCGATAACTGATAAATGCAGAATATAAGCAACCAACTCATAACCAACTGATAACTGAAAGAGAGATTATATTAAAAGACATAACATATTACATCATGCAAGAGGCCTTAACCTACCCCACTGCCACCTTTGCATATATTGTACCTCAATGATTTCTTTTATATCAATTATTTCTCTAATTGTACGATTTTATCATCTCTTTGGCAGAATCTGCAATCACATTTTTCTGTTGAATCAATGATCTAAACAGGACCGTTTAGGGTTGCCACCTTTTTTAAAAGTGAAAAAAAGACTACGATGCTGGAAATAATAGACATCAGAAAAGGTTTTAAATAAACAATAAATTATTATTTTACGATATTCTTCAACATCCCTTAAATCTTACATGTTTAGCAAATGATTAGATTTCTGCCTTTGATTATTGTGAATGGCTGAAATGGAATCTTGTGACTTATTGATAGGAAACCAGTTTTAATCATTAATTTCTATGGGTTCATTCGAACTAAAAATAAATAAAATATAAATTACAATCGCAAATATACTATTTTTGTTAATACTTTTTAATTCTGCGTTATTATATAATGATAATGTTTATGGAAAAAATATAGGAATCTATGATCTTTATAAAATCTTTGTAAGCTTTAAAATTCCCATTGAGACCTATTTACCGTATACCAGTGGCGTATCTAAGCCTTTTTATTATTAGCAAACCGTTTATTAATTCCATCCGCTTTTATCTTCGTTGTTTATACTCAAAAAAAAAAGTCGAACCGTTCTCTTATAAAAACCCAGGCAAGATCGTGCGGCGCACAACGACACCAAAAATGTTATTTGAAACTTCACAACAAATTTACGAAACAAAAAAATAGAGGTTTTACTACTCCATTTCCTACCAAGAGACATTGCCATTTTTCTGATCAATTTGGAAATTATTTTTTACTTAATAATAAATGTATTTTAGGTCTTTTTCACAAAGCCATCATGCAAAGTGGCAGCGCTTTCAATCCTTGGGCAAGAGGAAAAAGAAACGCCGCTGACATTGCCAAAGTTATGGGTTATCAACCAAACATAGACGAAAAGACAATTTTGCAAAAACTTCGTCAAGCTAGTACGAAAAGTATAGTTAAGGCACAAAATAAAGTCGTAGATGTATGTTATTCAATAATTTTAGATATTTCAATCTAAAATTCTATTTTATTCCAGAATACCTTTACTAGTGTAGTCCGTCCTTTTGGCCCGGTGATAGAATACAAACATGACGAAGCCTTCCTTGATGAAGATCCGGTTGAAATAATCAAAGCTGGAAAAAACCAACAAATTCCCGTTATTATTGGCTACACATCTTTGGAGGGATTGCTATATGAAGTGATAAGAAAAGTGAGGTCTGACGCTAAACTACCTGGTTCATTGGAGGTTGATATTCCCTACGAATTAAACATTTCCGAAAAAAGTGAAACTGCTAAAAAGATTGCTGAAGAAATGAAACAGTTTTATTATAACGACAAAGATTTATCGAAGAAGAATATAAATATTCGTTTTATGGTAAGTGTTATGATTTAAATTTATTTCTGAGCCCCAACATTGATCAAAATCGCAAAAAAAACTTGTTGCTAAAAGAAGGTGACATTTTAGTTATCTTTCAAAACCTCTAGTCTAAGAGTTAGAGGCAGTAAGGTGGTAAAGTCAGATTACAATAAGAAGAACACCGCTACGTCATAACTATTGTTTCGAATTTCCAACATATAAAGTATTATTCCTATATTTTTATAAACCTCCAGTAGGCGGCGATAGCCAACGAATTACTCCACCAATTGATGTGTTCATCTTTTTGCATACGAACCCTACGATCGTACCTAAAGCTGTAAGTTTGTGAAGTGGTTGGCGGGACTATCAGGAAATATCTAGTTTAGAAGCCCTGTAAACGAGACGACAGGCAACTGAAAGTTATAAAAAATATTGACAAAAAATTATCGTACCTCCGGCTGAAAATTTACATATTACCTCTTTGAAGGTCACAGATGAGGTATGAAAATCGTCAGATGTCTAGGGCACTGCTAAAGGAGTGTCAGACGTACTCAAATGTATAATTTTCTCATTGAAATTTTTTGTTGCCTCCGTCTGACGTTTTAACATTTAAAAAGTAATAGAAACTCAATAGAAGCTCAAAAACTTTCAGTATACGCATTTAAAAATTTGTATTTTTTGTCGATTTTTGCGTCTTACGTTTTAACATTATCTAAGAGACTTTTTGAAACATATAATATATGAAACGAAAAATCCGCTGCAAACTTCTGGTATAAAATTTTAAAACAAATAAAAAACAAACACACTTCATATTTGACTTAATTTTTGATACACAATCCCAGGCCCTGATTCAGAAAAAAATATCAACTTAGGATTCGCGAACTGTTTCAATGGTCAGCTAATTTTAAACTACTGGACAATATTAAAAAAATAAGCTCTAAAAGATCTTTTTCAGCTAAATGTTAAGCTTATTTCTAATTGCTAATGAGCTGTGTACTTTAGGTTAGGATACAAAAGGGCTTATTCTGCTCTATGTTCAATCTATACCAACTAGATGAATAAAGTTATATAAGTTGATTTTAGTAGTGCTCTTCCAGTTTATTGTGCAGTATATTTCTAATTGCTGATAAATGTTGTAATTTAGAACTACAACAGGGCTTTTCAGCTTTATGTTCAGTCTGTACCAACTAGCTGAATAAAGGTATACAATTTGACTTTATTATTGCTCTTCCAGCCTATTGTACAGAGTATTTCTAATTGCTGATGTGTGGTGTACTTTAGGACTACAAAAAGGCGTCTTCAGCTTTATGTTCAGCCTATGCCAACTAGCTGAATAAAGGTATATAATTTGACTTAAATAGTGCTTAGAAGTAGAAGAAGCTTCTATGCAACCTATTGATTAGCCGTTGGCTTATTGAGACTTCACCACTACCATACATCAGCTAAATTGCTGAACAAATCAATGTAACCAATTTTAGATGTTACTTAGGCTGTCCATCAATAGGTTTTTGGCCAAGTATTTAAATCCGTGTATTGGAACATCCAACCTAATCACCGGATCTCGCCTTATGTAAATTATTATATTACCAAGTTTAAATAAGCACTGAATATAACCAGATTTGATACAGTGGTGTTGTCAATGAAAAAAAGGTCTAAAACTATGCTTTCAAAAAATAATTTGCATGAGTAGTGTAGGTATCGTAAAGTGATGAAGTATATTGAAGGAGATGATGTGAAAAAAGCAATAAACAATTTTTAGCACAAATCCGATTTTTCTAACCACACACCTCCTAATTTAAATTGTCATATTAAGATCGACAAGTTTGCATTTTTATTATATTTTCTTTTTTAGTTGAGCAGCGACATCTTATTTTTGCACGGCATCCAGAGGACTATTAATTTACTCAAAAAATATAGCACAACACCAGTATACGCCTACAAAATGACGGTATCAAGCCCGTTAAACTTCTTAACAATGTGCTGTCAATCTAACTATTTCCTTACTGTAGGAATGTATAATCTTTTCATCAGATGGTCAGGACAATCCTCTTTAAAACACCTATTCCAGAATTTACGGAAGAAACTATTGGTTAAACATCTAGATGGCGTTGCTCATGGCGACGATTTATTCTACCTTATGAGTACTTCTTTGTCGCCGAAAGTCGCGATAGGCAGTGAGGAAGATATATACATACAAAGGTTTGTCAAACTATGGACGAATTTCGCTAAGCATGGCGATCCTACACCTGAAGCCCTTGAAGTATTAAACTCCACAAAGTGGAGTCCAGTTGTAGATGAACCGATTAGTAGCATTTTAGAGATAGGCAATACCATTAAGATGACTGAATATACAGAGAATGAGAGGTTGAAATTTTGGGATAAACTATATGAAGATTATGCATCCTAGAATGGTACCTATGAGAAAACCGTTTCGGGGCTTACAAAAATGATGAATTCATGCAACTAGAAACAAGCCGAAGTATTCCAAGAGGAATACGCATTACCCGTCTAACGTAGAGGAATCAATGTACACTGCATGTGTCTAGTTGCTTGAGCTTATCTAATGATTATATTGTGATAATTTTTTTTTGTCGAAATAGGAAGTTTTCTATTTTGTTACACAGAACTGTCTAGTTTTTCTTTCTTATCTGCAAAACTATCTTCACCTCTTTTTTAATAATGTTATGTTTTTAATGGCAGATTATCTTAATTTAAGGCTAAAATAAATTAGTAATTTGTTACCTAAACCTGATATTCCTACTATAAAATATAGAAAATAAATACTTTATAAAAAAATATTCTATTATTTCCATTTTATACGTTTTTTTTTTATAAAAACGACATTAAATAACCTATTGCAGATAATTTATTGTCACCTTGATTTTTTTCATATCTTAGTTGGATACACAACCATTATATTATTATAATAAGATTAAAAAACCGAGACATGTACAATAATTAATAAAACACTTTATATAAACTAAAATTAAACAGAACGTTGCAAATTAATCGTATTTAAGACAGAAAGAATATAAAATTTTTTAAAAGCATTTTTAAATTGATAAAAAGTAGAGGTGGACGATCCCGTGGTTTTTCAATCACTAATATAAATGGTAAAATTTAAATAAATTATATATAAATAAAAAGTTCAATGGTTTATTCGGTTGTTTTTATTGTTTTTATAAAACTTAAGTACAGGCACTATACATATGTTTTTGAAACAAATTAAATAAATTAGGTAGTTTTTCCTCAAATCATTAATAAATTATTTGTTAATAATTTCCTGATGAAATCGATAGAAAAACGTTTAAGATTAAACTAAGCAAATAACAGTTCCTAAAATATCGCCCATTTCTATAGAACAGTCATCATAATCACATTTTCTAACTTTAAGGATTTACATGTGGATAAATTTAAAGATGCTTTGTTAATTATAGACTATTAAAAACTATAGAAAATCTAGTGCTGGAATATAAAAATTAAAATAATAAAAAAAATATATAATAAAAATATACAATAACTGTACCTGCTCCTCTACTGATATTAAATGTGAAGTCTCATAAACTTATCTACATAACTATAAAGATTTCTTCAAGTAGCAGTACTAGGAATTTTTCTTTTCTCTATTTATCTATCCCAACGGCGAATGTCTACTAGACTTCTCATTTCGTTCATAAATAAGCATTTGTTTACTTGCAAGTATTCATTTCGTGAGATAGATAGAGCTGGCGCATTAAAAAGAACGAGACGCCTTATAAATTGAGTGGGGATGGTGTTTGCAAGCACACGTTAAAGAATAAACCAGCACTTACAACTACGGCGCTTGCTTTACACTGTTGTTACACTGCAAAATAAATAACGTACTTTCTGGAAATCACCTTCAACTACAATAGTTACAACCAGAAAAAGATATCAAACTAATTTTAACTGACATTAAGAATTGAAACTTCCTTAATGTAATAATTATGAAAGCCTTTTTTATCTTTTAGAACCTTTTTTAAGTAAATTTGCTAATTATAACCACAAACAATCCTTGAATATACATACTCTTCCGTAATAATTTGGCAACTATGTTGTTTAACAACGTAAATGCTTGCAAGTCGCCTTTTGTAAACAAAATTGATCTAATAGTTGTTCGTCGTTGGTATTCTATATCCTATATGTCTACCACCCTTGTTAAACATAATAAATATACTGTTTAAGATAAGTTATTGCTTTAATTTTTTTAATAAAAACCTTCCAATTTAATCCCAAAAGTGTTTACCTCTACATAGTTCCCTTTTTACCATAATAACCTGGGTCATAAGCACAGAGCATCGGCCTGATGGGAGCTCCGAAATAGTTAAACCCTATGTCTACATATATTTTTTATCCAATTATTATCAGTTTAAAAAACACATTGGTTTCTTAGTTCAACGCATAATAATTAACAATGTGAGCCATTTCCAACCAATCTGGTCGTGCTCTATCCTTTGGGTCTTTCTGCCTTGTTTGGGCTTTGTTACGACCCCACTTGTCCTTAAAACCAGGAATATTTAAAAAAAGGGGATAAACTCGCTTTACCCAACTATAGGGACGCCTATGGTCACAGATGGCCGGTATGAATCATTCATTAGAGAATGTACTAGAAGTAAATTCAAAAAAGTGCCGGAGGTGCCTGTCTAATAAATGGTGAGAACAATCTAGCGCATACATCAATTTATATATAAAATAAATGTGATATAAATTAGTATAAATTAAATATATTAAATAAATTAAAAACATAAATAGTGCTTAAGTATTAAATAAATTAATTAGTACGTAGTGTAAATAAATTATATATAAAGTGTTTTAAATAAATAAACTAATTTTGAATTAAACAATCATTACAATATTAATAATAATTGAATCAGTAATATCACCATTAGTATAAACTTGCGATTATTTCAGTTACCGTACAACTTTACTATCACTATGATAGAGCAAGTGTTATTTTGGCGGTTTATTATTAGATTTTTGCAATTTCGGCCTGTCGAGGAGCATAAGGCTCAATATTGTCGTGCGAACCATCCTTTAAGTCCCTCTCTGCCTTATTTAGGTCTCTTACGGACTCCACATATCCGATTACCAAAAATATTCGATAGAACAAGTCAATTTTTGAAACCCCTTACAGTTACCGTCATTCGTCGTGAACCATTGGCTTTTAAAATTTGGTGGATGCACCGTGATCTAGACTATACTAGAATAATGACGAATAATTCAAGAAACGCTACATGTGTACATAAATAGGCCCACGTTTGCTGTTATATAGTCACTTCAAGGTAAGAGATCGCTCAGGGCACATAAATCTTGGCCATATAATTTAGTATTATAAAACGTGAAATAAATTATTAATAAATTATAAAATAAATAGTTTCTTATTGTAAATAAATATACTGTGTACAATTTTTTAGAAAGCCTTGATATTCCAATAACGGATTGTCACGGGTAGAGCCACGATATGCAGCAAATATGACTAGAAAGTATTGTGGGCTGCAGGCAAGGATTTGATAGATGTCCTGGTGGTTTGATGTATTTCAGAACCAGTAGAACACTACCAATTCGTCCAAAAGTTGTTTAATTTTTTCTTGAGTCCGAACAATCGATGAAAAATATTAACAGAATATTTTTAAAGAAAAAAAAAACAATTAGATTGTTGTTTTTTCCAGAATTAGAGTGACATATGTTATTTTTGCCAGAAACAGACCTGTTGCACCTTGTTTGAATTCCGTATTTATGCAGATAGCTCTATCTTTTTTGGCTTCCTTTTAGGCCAATTAGTTGGCCCTGTATCATCGTTGGTAACTATATTCATTTTTTATGTCGAGGTGTCAACAAGCGAATTAACTAAATGAATGGAAAACGGAATATGAGATACAAGTTATAACGTTTCAATTTCAGCAAAAATTACATAGGTATTGGACAAATTCTGTTTTTAATAGAAGTAACTCGGATATATGTTGTTTTTACCAAATCAACTATAATTTAGAGCACTGTAAATCGGCACGAGAGCGGTTTTTGTAGGAACTGCTTAGACCATCAAATAGCCTTGCTAGACTAATTTATTCACCTATTTTAATGGCAAATTTAAAAAAATACAAACTACTTGTCTTCGCAAGAGCCTAGTCTTTCAATAAAAGGAGACATATCCATAATTTACATAATATGTAAAATTAAAAGATCAAATGACTTACTTGTGATGAAATTTGATCATAATTTTACGACTGGTTTTGTCGAAATCAAATATTCTCTTTCCTACCCTTTTATAAGAGTACGTCACTGGAAAACGGAAACACTAGTCCGCCATATGCAGGGACCACTTTGCTCGCAGGAATTCTTCTCTCCTTAATTAATCTAAAAGAAAAAGAAGAAGAATTTGACATTTATTAACCTAACTTTTTTCACGTTGTTGATTGTTGATTATTTGATTTGAAATAAAAAAGTTGTTCAATTAATATACCTATTATCTTAGTACTTAAAATATTATAAAGTTACAATGGAAGAAGATAATTCAGGAAAGAAAAAAAGTCATAGAGAACGCCATTCAGGTATGTAGTTTGATTTTATTATCATTTGTTATGTGTTGAGTTATAATTTATTTTAGGCAGGAAAGTTGAGAAGAAAAAAGCTAAAAAAGCGAGTGAAAATGTTGTATCGAATGAAGATCCAAAATTGAAAAACCCTAAAGCTTTTGCTTTTAATTCAGCAGTAAGAGCCGAACGTAGATTTAGACGGAAAGAAGATCTAAACACTAAGAAACAGCATATTCCACTTATTGATAGGACTCCTATAGAACCGCCGCCTGTAGTGGTTGCTGTAGTAGGTCCTCCAAAAGTTGGAAAGAGCACTGTTATTAATAATTTAATAAAACTTTTTACAAAGGTGCCATTAACAGACGTTAAAGGTCCTGTTACTGTTGTTACTGGTAAAAAGAAAAGAATTACATTTTTTGAGTGTAATAATGATGTTAATTCGATGATTGATTTAGCAAAAGTAGCAGATTTAGTGCTTTTACTTTGTGATGCTAGTTTTGGTTTTGAAATGGAAATTTTCGAGTTCCTAAACATATGTCAGGTACATGGTATGCCTAGAATAATGGGAGTATTGACACATTTAGACTTGATTAAAAATAGTAAGACTCTAAAGACAACTAAAAAAACTTTAAAACACAGATTTTGGACTGAGGTGTATTCAGGAGCAAAATTGTTCTACTTATCAGGTATTATCCATGATGAATATTTAAGGAACGAAATCAAGAATTTGGGTAGATTCATAAGTGTTATGAAGTTTAGGCCACTACAATGGAGGACCACTCATAGCTATATATTAGGTGACCGGTATGAGGATCTTACCAATCAAGAATTAATCAGAGTAAATCCTAAATGTGATCGAAATGTGGCCTTATATGGATACATTAGAGGTGTCCCTTTAAAAAAAGATAGTTATGTACATATAGCAGGTTTTGGTGATTTAAAAATCCATGATCTATCATACTTACCTGATCCATGCCCACTTCCTGAGCAATTGAAGAAAAGAGCTCTTATAGAAAAAGAAAAACTTATCTATGCTCCATTTTCTGGGGTGGGAGGTATTGTGTATGATAAGGATGCAGTTTATATGGAGCTAGGTGGTTCCCACAGTCATCATGAAAGGGAGGGTGAGACTGAAAATATAGTATCAAATTTAATAAGTACAAAAGAAACTTTGGATGAAAAATTGAAACATTCTGAGCTTCAGATTTTTACTGATGGTAAAAAGATTACAGCAAATGATATATTAAGCAGTGACGAAGATAATACTGAAGATATTCAATTATTTGAAAAAAGAGAGAAAAAATTGGAAAACTCAGAACTAGATAATGAATTAAACAAACTGAGAAAAAAATATGTAGAAGTTAAAGACAATGGTAGGGTTAGAAGAAAAGTAGTTTTTGATGATATAAATGATGAAGAAGATACAGATGATGATGACGAAGACACTGATAGTGATGAAGATAAAAATCTTGAAAAGCATGAAGAATATGTAATGTCTCTACAGAATAAAAACAATGAAGTACATTCTAAAGTTAAAGATATTTTGAATAGCATAGACTCTAATCAAAAGAAGAGACAGAGAGAAGTTATTGAGGAAGAAGAGATGGAAGATACTAGTGATGAGGAAAATGATACTGGTCTAGAATGGAAGGGAAATTTAATGCAAAAAGCAAAAGAATCGTTTATGGATAGGCAAAGCACTAATAAAAATTTAATGAGACTTGTTTATGGTAAGTTTGTTTATTTATAATGGTGGGAGGAATGGTGGGGTGGGGGGAATTGGGGGGCTTCAGTTAGAGGGGTTTTGGAGAGCGGGGCGTCGGTTAGAGTGGTTTTGGGGGGCGGGACGTCAGTTAGAGTGATTTTGGGGGACGGGGTGTTATAGATCCAATTTAAAAACAATAATTGGCAATTACATATAACTGGTAAATACACAAATAAATTTTATAATATCTAAATTATTTTAAGAATAAACAATTATATATAAATAGTAATTCTAAGGCCATGACTGATAGAGACAGTGCCAGATTAAACGGGTGTGAAGTTATCCACATCCACAAATGTACACTGAGAAAAATATAACTCTATCGTAATAGTCATATAACTTGGTTCAAATTACCTGTAGAGGCTTTTCATTTGTAGATTTCAATTGGAGAGGTTTCAATACACAGCAACCATACCCGCAATTAACTTTGGCTTTGTCTCAGGGGGTGCAATTGGAGGTGAAATTTAAAAAAAAAATCATAGAAGCCACAAATAGCTTTGTACACCTTTCTGCTTGGGATATGTTATGTAATTTTCTCTTTTTTTCATCCATGATAGCATGCTGGAGTTTGTCGAGCCGTCTGAGGGGGTGCAATTGGGGATGAAATTAAAAAAAATTCACAGAAGCCACAAATGGCTTTGTACACCTTTTTACTTGAGATATGTTATGAAGATAGCTATTTTCTTTATGCCTGATACCATGCTGGAGTTTGTCGAGCCGTCTGAGGGGGTGCAATTGGGGGTGAAATTAAACAAAAAATCATAGAAGCCACAACTGGCTTTGTACACCTTTCTGCTTGGGATATGTTATGTAGTTTGCTCTTTTCTTTATCCCTGATAGCATGCTGGAGTTTGTCGAGCCGTCTGAGGGGGTGCAATTGGCGATGAAATTAAAAAAAATCACAGAAGCCACAAATAGCTTTGTACACATTTCTGCTTGCGATATGTTATCTAGTTGGCTCTTTTCTTCATCCCAGATACCGTGTTAGAGTTTGTCGAGCCGTCTGAGGGGGTACAATTGGGGGTGAAATAAAAAAATTAAAGAAGCCACAAATGGCTTTGTACACCTTTCTGCATGCGCTATGATATGTAGTTTGCCCCTTTCTTCGTTCCAGATACCATGCTGGAGTTTGTTGAGCCGTCTGAAGGGGTGCAATTGGGGGTGAAATTAAACAAAAAATCATAGAAGCTACTACTGGCTTTGTACACCTTTCTGCTTGGGATATGTTATGTAGTTTGCTCTTTTCTTCATCCCTGATAGCATGCTGGAGTTTGTCGAGCCGTCTGAGGGGGTGCAATTGGGGATGAAATTAAAAAAAATCACAGAAGCCACAAATAGCTTTGTACACATTTCTGCTTGCGATGTTATCTAGTTGGCTCTTTTCTTCATCCCAGATACCGTGTTGGAGTTTGTCGAGCCGTCTGAGGGGGTGCAATTGGGGGTAAATAAAAAAATTAAAGAAGCCCCAAATGGCTTTGTACACCTTTTTACTTGAAATATGTTATGAAGATAGCTATTTTCTTTATGCCTGATACCATGCTGGAGTTTGTCGAGCCGTCTGAGGGGGTGCAATTGGGGGTGAAATAAAAAAAATCATAGAAGCCACAAATGGCTTTGTACACCTAACAAACTACATAACATATCCCAAGCAGAAAGGTGTACAAAGCCAGTTGTGGCTTCTATGATTTTTTGTTTAATTTCACCCCAATTGCACCCCCTCAGACGGCTCGACAAACTCCAGCATGGTATCAGGCATAAAGAAAATAGCTATCTTCATAACATATCTCAAGTAAAAAGGTGTACAAAGCCATTTGTGGCTTCTGTGATTTTTTTTTTTAATTTCATCCCCAATTGCACCCCCTCAGACGGCTCGACAAACTCCAGCATGCTATCAGGGATGAAGAAAAGAGCAAACTACATAACATATCCCAAGCAGAAAGGTGTACAAAGCCAGTAGTGTCTTCTATGATTTTTTGTTTAATTTCACCCCCAATTGCACCCCCTCAGACGGCTCGACAAACTCCAGCATGGTATCAGGCATAAAGAAAATAGCTATCTTCATAACATATCTCAAGTAAAAAGGTGTACAAAGCCATTTGTGGCTTCTGTGATTTTTTTTTTATTTCATCCCCAATTGCACCCCCTCAGACGGCTCGACAAACTCCAGCATGCTATCAGGGATGAAGAAAAGAGCAAACTACATAACATATCCCAAGCAGAAAGGTGTACAAAGCCAGTAGTGTCTTCTATGATTTTTTGTTTAATTTCACTCCCAATTGCACCCCCTCAGACGGCTCGACAAACTCCAGCATGGTATCAGGCATAAAGAAAATAGCTATCTTCATAACATATTTCAAGTAAAAAGGTGTACAAAGCCATTTGTGGCTTCTGTGATTTTTTTTTTAATTTTATCCCCAATTGCACCCTCTCAGACGGCTCGACAAACTCCAGCATGCTATCAGGGATGAAGAAAAGAGCAAACTACATAACATATCCCAAGCAGAAAGGTGTACAAAGCCAGTTGTGGCTTCTATGATTTTTTGTTTAATTTCACCCCCAATTGCACCCCCTCAGACGGCTCGACAAACTCCAGCATGGTATCAGGCATAAAGAAAATAGCTATCTTCATAACATATCGCTTGCAGAAAGGTGTACAAAGCCATTTGTGGCTTCTATGATTTTTTTTATTTCACCCCCAATCGCACCCCCTCAGACGGCTCGACAAACTCCAGCATGCTATCATGGATGAAAAAAAGAGAAAATTACATAACATATCCCAAGCAGAAAGGTGTACAAAGCTATTTGTGGCATTTGTTTTTTTTTTAATTTCATCCCCAATTGCACCCCCTCAGACGGCTCGACAAACTCCAGCATGGTATCAGGGATGAAGAAAAGAGTAAACTACATAACATATCCCAAGCAGAAAGGTGTACAAAGCCATTTGTGGCTTCTATGATTTTTTTTTTAATTTCACCCCCAATTGCACCCCCTGAGACAAAGCAAAAGTTAATTGCGGGTATGGTTGCTGTGTATTGAAACCTCCCCAATTGAAATCTACAAATGAAAAGCCTCTACAGGTAATTTGAACCAAGTTATATGACTATTACGATAGAGTTATATTTTTCTCAGTGTACATTTGTGGATGTGGATAACTTCACACCCGTCCAGATTAAGCCTTCGGTCTACCGGTCAAAAGACCAGTAGGCCCTTATTCAGGCAGTGGGTACTCCTAAATTAAATGCAAGAACCCCGGTAATACGTGAGAGGACCTTTTTTTACATGCTCTTCATTGAGAGAGGACCTTTTTTTACACTTCAGTGAGAGAGGAACTTTTTTTGCTTTTTAATGAAAAACAGACTATGAAAAAGATGGGCCTTTCTCCCTCCTGGCCAGTAGGCCCTGGAGGTCCCAATCTAACACTGAATAGAGACAGTTTTTTTATGATAACTACGCACGGCTCTGAATAAAATAATGAATATAAAGTCATTGTGAATGTCTTTTCAATTTAAAATCAATATTTCATGGGTAGGAAACATCAAATTGACAAAATGTAGATTTAAAACTTGAGCATTCTTTACTGAACATTAACTAACATGACTGTGCTGAAAGCAAAAAGTAACCACATACTTCTCTGTAAATGGTTCAATGTATGATGTGATTAGATTAGATCTTTGTCAGCTAGTAGTAAAAAATGAATAACCCAATTAAAAAAATATGTATTTAGATTTTCAGGAAGAATCAAATGAAAAAGAAGATGAAACCAAAGAAATGGAACAAGATGAGATTGGTGGTTTATTTAAGAAAGTTACAAAAGAACAGCATCAGCTTAAACAGAATAAAGATGTTATGAATTTGCCAGAATCATCATTAATGCTGCCTTGGAATGCTATTATGAAAGATTGGACATTACCAGAGGTAGGACATTTTTTTACAAATTTAGTTATTTTAAATAAGATAAATCACAAGTTTTTAGGATCTCACTAATTTTTCTGTTTTATTTATACTTACTTTTAAACTAAAATGATTTTTTTAAATATATGTCTAAGGGTGGATTGTACAATAGGCATTTAAAATATAATCTTAGTTTAAACTCTAAACCTTATTGTATAATCATCGTTTACTGTTAAACAAAGTTTTAAAAATGACATTTGTACTTTGAACCAGTTAAAAATTAAACTCCTGTTAGCTAAACTGAGTTTACGGCATTCTTTGTACAACCCGCCCTATGAGTTTTTATATTTTTTCAATGACCATGTATATATTAGAGGATATTTAAATTAATTATCACATTGTTTTTATTTATCCACTTTTGTCTTCTATAGAATAAAGATCTCATAATCAACTGCTTTGTCACTGGTAAATGGAAAGACAGTGAAGATGCTGGTGAGCTTCTTAAACTAGACGATGCAGAAGACTTAAGTGACGCAAATTCAGAAATATTTGGCGACTTTGAAGACCTAGAAACGGGCGAAAAACACTCCTCCCAATCCAAAACGAAGCCAGAAAAACGCAAAAGAGAGGAAGCTGAAAAAGATGAAAACGCAGATGCCGTCGCTTTAGCTGAAAAAAAGAAGAAACTCAAAGAAAGGTTTGATGCTGAGTATGATAATGAGGAAACATTGACATATTATGATGAGTTAAAATTATCTGCAGAAAAACAGGCTCAGTTAAATAAGACCGTGTTTGATGATGTTCCGGATGAAATTCGAGTTCAGATTGAGGGCTACAGACCTGGAATGTATATAAGGGTAGAGTTTCAAAATGTTCCTTCTGAATTTATACAGAATTTTGATCCTACATATCCTTTAGGTAAGTTGACTTATATTAAATCATTTTTTAATATCCACCACTGTAAATCGAATATCAACCCATTTTAAGTGACATTCTTTGAAATGATTGATTGATTCCTTACTTATAACGACACTACCACCTTTGGTTTGATCGTCTTCATCATATTACAGTATTTATATCTTGCTGTAGTTAATACTGACCAGGAACATAACACAAAAATCTGGCAAATTAAGATTCGCATTGAGAATTTAGTTGTTTGTATTTATTCACTAGAATTCATGGTTTTATTATAACATTAAATAAAAAGTTTTTTCATACTGATATATTTTTTATTTTCAGTTATTGGCGCTTTAAACATGGGCGAAGAAAATGTAGGTTATTTAAATGTAAAAATCAAAAAACACCGTTGGTACAACAAAATCCTTAAAACCAACGATCCTCTAATAATTTCTTTAGGTTGGAGGAGATTCCAAACAATACCTCTTTATTCGAAGTTAGAAGATGATATGAAGTTTCGTTATCTTAAATATACACCTCAACATTTGGCATGCAATGCTCATTTTTGGGGCCCTATTACGCCACAAGGAACCGGATTTTTAGCTTTACAAACCGTAGATTCCGAAAGCAGTGTAAGTCAAAAATACCTCCAATAGCAATTTGAAAAATATAGAATAAATAATTATTCGTAAACAGTCTGCAACCAATATTTTTGCAGAATTGTATTTATTAAATATCTTATTTTTAGAATATCAAAAAACTTGGATTTAGAATAGCAGCAACTGGATCAGTATTAGAATTAGATAAAAATACTAAGGTATTGAAAAAATTAAAACTCATCGGACATCCTATGAAAATATACAAAAAGACAGCTTTTATCAAAGGTAACTTTTTCAATTGTAATTAATTTTTTCTCAATAAGTATTTGACTGATTAAATCTGGTGAGTAAAATCAGTTAAATCAAAATTAAATTTCAATATTTTTCTTGTTTTTTTTTTTAAGATATGTTCAATAGTTCATTAGAAGTGGCAAAATTCGAAGGTGCTCGAATCAAAACCGTTTCTGGTATAAGAGGCCAAATAAAAAAAGCTATTAATAAACCCGAGGGTTGTTTTAGAGCTACTTTTGAGGATAAAATTCAATTAAGTGGTAAGTTTTTTTTTATAAATTTTAATTATTTAAATAGTTTGTTCTATCCCGCACAGAAAAAAAGAGAGGAAAGGCAGACACATGTTTCTGTTGCCAAATTAAGAAAAAATGTAAAGTTTTTTTATGATATTATAATAATAAAAGCACTTTATTGGTTATAAACTTTACAAACAAATGACCTAGGTCCTTCAGACAGTACAATTATTATTTTATTTTGTGCCACCAATTTTAAATGAAGATCCCAATAGACAAATTAATTATATCGGTAACAAATAAATATTGTGTAGAATTAAAACACTCAGTTCTAATGTTTTTTTCTAGATATAGTTTTCTGTAGAACGTGGTTTAAAGTTGACGTCCCTAAATTTTATAATCCTGTAAATACACTTTTGCTTCCGAATGACAAGAGAAACGTTTGGACAGGAGCAAGAACAACTGGCGAAATAAAAAGGGAAATTGGTGTTAGGAATGCTGCAAATATGGATAGTCTTTATACCGTAAGTTTAGATACATTATTTTAACTAATATTTGGCATGTTTAAATAAACGATAAAAGTTCTTTTAGATTAACAAAACGTTAAGACGGTCTTATGCTTAAGTAACAAATTTGTTTTGTAATCGGATATAATAGTATCTTTTTTTTTGTTTTTATAGCCGATCGAAAGAGAAGAAAAGCCATTTAAACCATTGATAATACCGCGAAAACTGCAAAAGAACTTACCATACAGAGATAAACCTAAACAAGGCATTAAACGTTCTGAACAAAACAAAATTGATAGAATCGCCATTATTGCCGAACCTGAAGAACAAAAGGTAAGGTTTAATACAATGCTTATTAAATGAAACATCCACAGACATGTCTCTAAAAATATTTGCATTTTTACATTTCAAACATGAAATACTTTAAGAAAACATATTCTTTTTCATAAAATCGTTATTGATATTAGTACACATATCTATTGACGTGATAAAGTATTTTGTTTTAACCTCATCCACATAATTTAACTTTAACATTAAACGTAATTTTCAAATTCTCGCTTCTACAAACTTTAACCTAATTTATCTTTCTTCTGTATTTCCTTTCGTCTTGCATTCATCTGTCATCTTAACCTTCTATTTATAATATCTAACTATATTCTATAAAAATCCCAACCTCAAGTACCTTGTTCCAAATTAATTTCAATATCTAAATGTCCGTCCTTCATTTAACATTTACACCCTTTCATTCTCCTCTGCCCTTACTCTTTCTTTTTCTGTCAGTCCCAGATTATTGATGATCTTTTTCCATTTTCTCTCTGTTTTTTATTCCTATATTTTATTTTTGCTATAATTTGCCTTATTTTTTATACTTCCATGTATTTTCCTCATTTTTTTTCTCTTTTCTACCAACTTCTTTCTTACTTTCGTCTTAAATTCTTAAACCTTAAGGTTTCCTTCATCTTCTTTATCGTGTCTTCTGTTTTTCCCTTTAATTTGTTTTCTAATTTCCTACATTTCTATAACATCTTCGATTCCTTGATTTATATTTTTAATTTCCCTATCAGAGTTGCTTGGTACTTTTCATTCTGTTGCCAATTGCAATGCCTTGTCAAAAAGGTTCAACTTTAACATGCTAGGTTTTTGACCTTTAAGAAACACTGTTTTATTATTTAACAATAAAATGATCTTACAAAATATAAATCATGAAACACTGTTTTATTATTTAACCACAAAATGATCTTACAAAATATAAATCATCAGCCTAATTTTAAAACCTTGTAAGTCAGTTTTGACAATTTCTACAGGAAAAAACCATCCAATTTCGGAAAATGCATTGATTTTTGTATTATGTGCTGAAATAATTTAATTACAACTATGTAAGATATTATAACTCATAACTTATTTTCAGTAAATTTTTGACTTAAGAGGTTTAAAAATTAGACCGACGAAACTTAAATTTAAAGGTAATAATTATACATATAAACAATTATTTGACCGACCATAGGAAGGTCTTCTCTCCAAAATATACTTGGTATGTTTATATAATTTTTTCATTTATTCTGAAATAAAACAAATATCTAAATTAAATATCTATTTAATTTCTAACAATTTAGGAAATTCGCTTTCTAATCTAAATACATTTATTTTAGAAGTGAGATGCCAAGTGTCATCTCCATTGATATCAATTTTTTTATAAGAACTTGAATAACTAATTAACTCTAGAGAATTGTCAAAATCGAGATCTGCTATCAATAGAGAATCTTTTTGATTGTTGAAATCCGGTTGACAATTATTGTGCTGAGGTCCATTGCAGATTAAGTAAATATCTGTTAAACTAACATTTTCAATCTGTACATCATTTTCTTTGAGAATTATCAAAATAATTCTTTCTGATACTTTGTTTAAGTGAAATGTTTCATTATGTACTGGAACATTTCTTTTATAAATTCTGGTAACTGGTGACAGTTTTAAAGAATTATCTTGCCAGTACCACATTTTTAAAATGAACCCGTGTATGTAAGTTTCAAAAGAATACAAAGGCCTTGAAGATGGAAATGTAAATGGTATCGGGTTCATTACTACTGCATTATCAAATTTCCATAAATGTAGCTTAGTATTATTAGAACTATAAAGAGTCACTACACTTTGACATATTGGACAAATATTTAAATTTTCTATAATTAATTTTTTATCCCCTGCTTGGTAAAATGTTGAGTTATCTTCATTTTCTACAACATTTAATTTTATATTCGCTCCTGAATTTAAGTAATATGATTTAATATCGCTCATTGATGTTTCATATGTTGCTTTTATGCCTTCTGTTTTTGAACATATATATTTGATTGAATTTAGGTTCCCAGTCTTTAGTAGTTTTATAGATGAACAAATTGAAGGTAGTTTAATATTTGAGAGCGCCTGACCAGTCTTTCCTGATATGATTAGCAAGTCACTTTTTTTGTATACTGCTAATAACTCATTTGTACCATCATTATCAAAGTCTTCTATCTTAATAGGCATTTCTAGTTCTGGTATCGATTTTTGTTCTATACTGTGAGCGTGCCAAAGAGCTTCACCAGATATCGTTTCTATCACCTTTAAACCCCTACTATCTACCACGAGGCAATCATAATAGCCATTACTTTCTACATCTATTGTAGTACAATTTATTTCATGTGGATAACTTTGTTGCTGAAAATCCCACGCTACAGCACCATTATTTCCAAGTAACGAAATTACTCCGTTTTTAAAAGATTTAGGATTGCTATAACTACCTTTATAAATCAGTGCTAGATTCCAATTCTTATGAAATATTCCTCTCACTAAATTTATTGGCCCCATTAACTCCAAATTTTCATGAATTGATTCCCAATTACCTATTTTTAATGAACAAGTGTTTGTATCTTGACAAGGTAATATCCATAAAAATACAACAATGGGTAAAAAGCATAGAAATATAGAAAAAACAAGTGCAGCTCTACGACGAGTAGATAATTTTCTATTTAAATTCTTAATTTTTCCAATATTATCTTCGTATTCGTGCATCTGTGTGTGTCCATTTTTAGGTTGTGAAAATTTAATTTTAGACGAGTTCACACCATTACTTATATAATTTGATTTTTCTTCCTTTTCTGAATCAGAATCACTAAGAGATTGTGGTAAAGGAATATAAACTCCTTGAGAAGAATGAGACATTTTAACTAGTTTAGTGCATGTACATGATATTGATTTAACTTTTGCTGTTTCTAGAATTAGAAACGCGTGTTTATTTATTGATTTTTAAACGGGTGTAGTTTGTGGTACGATCGATAGATGACGCAGGGTACAATTTTAAATTTTCACTCAATGCTAGTAGAGAATGTTTATTGAGGTGCAGTAATGGGGCGTGGCCTATCCTATAATCTATTTTTGTTGGAGTTTATGATCAAAGATTTTATAATCTTCTCTTGACTTTAGGTAAACAAATAAAAAAGATCTAAAATTAGGTATATTGCTTTTATTAACCCAGTTTTGTAAGAACTTTATTTATCTCAAAATTTAAAATCTATGTAACAATGGTGAAAAGGGAAAATAATATATTTCAGAAGACGAAAAAGTTAGAAAGGTAAAAATGTGTAGACTTGTAAAATTAAAGACATACACTTGTTTTACCATTTTCCAGTTACGAGGGCGAGTCCATTTGTTTTTGAGGATTTTTCAAAAATCGAAGATGAAACGTAAAAATTGGAATTTAAAGACACTTTCAAGAAATATAAATATGGGTTTTACCGTTGTCCAATATAATACAATGCAGGGATGTATTTTTTAGGGATATCTATACAGATTGTCCCATAATGAATTGTACATAGTAGAGTGTAGTAGTGATGTCTAAATATTACTATTTAGTAAATATGACTAACCTTAATAAAATGTTGATAGTTAACATGTTACAGGGTGTTGTAGTTATTTAGATTTTGGATACTATGTTAATCACTCTGTAACTTACTCGATTTGAGCAGTTTTTAACATTTTTGAACCGTACTTTTTTATTAGTTTTATCAAAAAAATGTATTCTTCATGAAAAATTGTGCATGGCCTAAAACCACCATCAGATATCAAATTTTGAGTCGTATACGAGGTTTTTCAAACAAATGATGTTTGGTCAAGAGTAAAGTACATTCATTTTTGACAAACCTCGTATACGACTCATAAAATTTGATATCTGATGGTTGTATTTTAGGTTTTAAACCATGCACATTTTTTTATGAAGAATATATATTTTTTTCTTCTAAAATTAATAATAAAAGATTTTTCCATATGCCACCAAAAAAAGTTATTCTTCATGACTTAAAACCTAAAATTCAATCATCTGATACCAAATTTTATCAGTCGTATACGAGGTTTGTCATAAATTGAGGTATTTTCCTCATACGCAAAATTTATATTTTTTGAAGCACCTCGTATACGGCTCAAAAAATTTAATATCTGATGGTTGAATTTTAGGTTTTAGTCTATGCAGAACTTATTACAAAGAATACATTTTTTTTGATAAAACATGTAGACTTACTTAGACACACTGTATATTGTGATGCTTGTTTAGATCATCCGTTTTTAACTAAATATTACAATTATTACTTAGAATTAATACATAAATTACACTAAATAATTTTTTCTAATTTTGAAATAAAGTGACATTTTTTGTAATCGCAATTAAAAAATCTGTCAATGGAACCATAATTACATCATCACTAATTTAGCGACAAAATAACCTATTTTCTTCAAATCTAAATAACTTTACCAAACAAAATAAACAAGTCGTCAAGAATAAATTAATATTATTTTCTATTTGTCAATAAAAGAATGAAGTTAATCATAGGCAACTAACAATACAAGAAAATAGTAATATTGGTTGCCTAGATGTCAGTAATTTTTTTATAGAAACATAAATATTGTAGTCAAAATTAGAAAAATTATATGTAACACATTACGAAATGCCGTTTTATGTAACTCGTTACATAAAATAAGGCTTTTCGCTACTGGTTTTATAAATAGTATATATTTTTGTTGTTGCTCTCATTAGTACACAAAGTTATAAATATTTGTCTTATAAACGGGTTAAAAACCTGTTAGGACATTAAATATACAGTATGTAAAGTTTCCCACAATGACGCCAGAAGATCGGTATAGAATAAGCGATACTGTTAATTAGACAGAGGCAGAACAGTGTACACCAGCCCACTAGCGGTAGAGGTGTATCCATCTGTCCAACCATAGCAGGCAGTCAGCAGATTCACGAGTTTCTGGTTTTCTCATTTTTATTTTCCTATTTGTATACAGATATAAGGAAAGTATAGGAATCATGGTTTTTTTCGACCTCCAGTTTTCGACGGATTTTTACGTTTTGGGGTCCACTGAATCCGTTTCGACTATTTTCGCGATGATGTTTGTGTGGGTGCGTGCGTGGGTGGGTGCGTGTGTGTGTCTGTATCCACCATAACTCATGAACCAATACAAAGAAAAACACCAAATTTTAAACTTAAGCTTTATTCCGGCGTCCAATGAACAGATTAGATTTTGGGCAGAGTCGGAACATCTGGGGGGGTACTTTATACGTAATCATTTTTATATTTTATGGAATATATCTGTTATATACGTTTGGAGACGAAAATTCTTCAAATAAAAGTTACAATAATTATTATCAGTATTTTTTGTTTCATACAAAATTTCCTAAAATGGTCCGTATTCGAGAAATTTAACAAAACGTGCAAAATTCTGATTTTTAAAAAAATTGTTGATTTAAAAGTTGTTTGCGATATCGATCTCTATAATTTTTGTTTATACATGATTTTTCTAAAATGTACCGTAATGGAAAAATTGGAGGAAAAGTGCTAAATTTAAATTTTTCAGTATTTGTTTTCAATTAATATCTATAGAAAAATGTTTCGAGGTAGATGTATGTGGAAAATGTATATATTTAGTTTATCCTCTAAACATTTAAAGAGGTGCTGCAATAGGTTGTACAAAATAACCGGAAAAGCCTATAAATAACTAGATAGAAAGTCATGTGTTGGACACATCAGATTTTTATTTTGGAGGATGGGTTAACATTATATTTTTTTTTTTTTTCAGATATCAACCATGATGAAAATGTTAAGGGCGTCATATGATAAGAAACAGGACAAACTTAAACAAGAAACGAATGCAAGATTGGATAAATTTAGACAAGAAATTGAAGGTATAGAAGCCAATAAATACAAAAAGTTGAAAGAAATAAAGAAAAATGTTCACAGAATGAGGAGTAAACAAGCTAAAAGTAAAGGGGGAAGGAAATAATTTGTTTTTTTGATATTAATGTAAATAAATGTTTTTTTTTGTCAAATTATTGTTTCATACTCAAGTATACCCATAACATTTCTTTAGGGGTGGGAGTGGCTTCATTGGATTTTTGGACCTGTGGGTTCAAATCCTTTCAGTTTCTGAATTTTTCTCGAAAATAATTACGGAAGCATTGCGTGAGGAATGGGAACCAAATTCTCCAAACCTTTACACAAAATTTGGAAAAATAGATTTAGATTTTTAGTATGGGTGTGTCATATTTTTTAGCACTTAAGATTTAGTACCAAATACCAGAATTGCGTTTGAATCTGTTAAAATTAGACACTGTACAGCATTTTTAGATTCTCTACACTAAAGGAGGGGGAGGCGTTTTCGAAATAATTACAAGCAGGGCATATGGACGCAGTTAGTTATGCTGTTAATATCTCTTACAGTTTCAAAGTGAAAAGAAAAATGGGGGTAAATAGGGACCGGACATTTTTCTTGTGTCAAGGTTCTCTTTTCATTTATGTAATATAGTTATCAGATATATTTTTTGCCAAGCTCATCGTTTCCCATAGGCGGGTGGAAATTTATAATGAATTTAGAATTATTAATTTTAATTCCAAGGCAGGTTTCACCACTTGAGCATTAACTGTTGCATCACAGCTTAAATATACATACTCCTTCAGTCACTTCATTAGTTGACGACAAAGGCGCCATTCCTAGAGAAAAAATGTATAGCAAAGAACCTATTGCCTTCCTATAAAGTTCCTAGTTTAACCTGTATATTCTTAATATCCTGGATCATTATTCATTGGCATTTTATGAACCAAACGTCAAAAATAATATATTTTAAATTGTATACTAGGTACTCAACACGTAGTTAATGATCAGTTGATACAAAAAAAAAAAACTATTAATTTTAACAATTTCTACATTGAAACAAGATTTTTTAAAATCTGCATTAAATATTTTATGTAGTTATTTATTTTTATAGGATTTCAAAATTTACATTTGGTGAAAATACAATAAAATGTTTAATATTTTGGAAAAGTACTGACGATATTCTCTATAAATGATACAAATTAAATATTAAATGTTTTAAGTATCTTGAAACAAATATTTTATAAAATAAAATCAACATAAAACACAATACTTTTAATATATCACTTAGTACACGTTTAACAATATAAGTATCTATAGAGATTTAAGACATTGCTTCACTATATGATAAGTCTATAAAATTACTACATAAAGAAAAGAAGTACATTAAAATGGAATGAACATCTATAAACATTTAAGTGATCAGAGTTTTGGTGCCTATCAATAAAATATTGCACAGATTCACTATTGGCGGTAGTTCTTGTGTATTTCAGGCTTGATATCATAGACCAGTTTCAAAATTTCTAGTATAACCTAAAAAAAAGTTCAAAGATTACCACAATTGTATAGTTATGATTAAAAAAATGATTCAATTTGCCATTTAGGTATTTTGGTTATGGATTAAAACTAAAATGCTAGACTCTATTAATTGTTGCTGGCAGTTTACAAGACTCTGGTAGTGCAGTTCAAATCTTTAGATATTTTAGGTTTGGAGATAGTTGTATTAAATGTCCTGAAGCAGAGCCAAGTATGAATGTGACAGGACTGGCTAATGATTTGGATTAATGGACAAAATTGAATTATCATAATTCACAAAATAGTATGACCTACTTTTGGTCCTAACAAGTCATCATTAGGATTTGTAAAATATTTTGTGGTGCTACAGTGTGACAAATTTGTATTTTACATTTGGGAAATGGATGTCTTTTTGCATAATTCAGAAAAGTATAGAAGAGCTGATGCCATTTGTAATACCTATAGTTGAAAACAGAAGCAAGGTATTTATATGATATAGGAAGCAAATGACTAAATTAGGGATTGCAGGAAGCCAGATTGGAAGTCTTCAATTATTTATCCCTATTCCTAACTAATGAATTTAATAGATCTCTAAATTGTAACCAGAATAAAAAAGGTTGATGGTTCAGTAGATTCTCAAAGTTGTGAATTGGACAATATATTTGCACTTCTTGCCAGAATTTATCTCTAAAGTTGTTAAGCCCTAAAGCGGTTTTAAGGGAAGAAAGATGTATGACCTTGATCAACATCATGTGAATCGGGAGGTTATATCAATGCTTCTACAAAACTTACTGGTTCCTTTTGACTTATGATAGCCTTATTCATTTCTTCAATCCTACGCTTTGTGTCTACTTCAATTTTTGCGGCAACATCCTCTTTAGAGCCCATATGTTTAGCCTCGAATTCGCGAAATTGGCGTTCCCTTTCCTTACGGTATTTTTCGATTTCATCTTGAGCCTCTTCTTTAGCTTGCTTTAGCCTCCTAGCTTTGCCTAGAGTAAATAACATGAACTAAGAATTATTGATTTTTCAATTACTGTGTTAAAAGTACTAAGTGTTTTTTTTAAACGGAATAATCTAAATAATATTTCATGTATAATACATTATAAATGAATTAGTTGAAACAGAAAAAACTTTTTTTTATACAATCTCGTGACTGCGTTAACACCCAGATTTAGTACACTTGTTTTTTTCCATAAATGTTACTTACGTTTTCTAGCCTCTGTAACTTTGTCTGCAGCGCGTTTTTCAGCTGCTAAAAGCTGTTGAACACCATGGCTTTGATGGCTTGCCATGTCTCAAAACTTATTTTAAAAAACTAGGTGGAATAATCACTAAAGCAAGACTGAAATGATCAAGACGATAAGCGATAAGACAAACCCTCTCTCAAATCGGTCATATGATCAACAATTAACCTTCTGACGCTGACATCTGACTGTCAGTTTTCAAGAGTGCCAACCATCCTTTCTCCATGATGGCCAACATCAAAAAGTCTTGAATGTATTTAGCATGACAGTTTGGAGTCCACATGGGCGTAACCAAACAAAGTAAAAGGGCAAGAACAATTTTTATTTTGTAAAAACTTCGAAATACAGATCTGATCACTGGGAGATAATTTTTTAAATAATAATTTAGTAAAAGTGGAAAATATTTTAATACATAATAAAAATAAATCATTAATTTGGTAGTTATCTCTCTTACAATGATTTTTGTTTATATGACTCTTTTGATTTCTAAATATATTTTGACCTTACAATACGAAGAGTTTTGTATCTAACACTTTTTTATTGAACGATGAATGATCTATCATTTTATAATATATGTTCACGCCCTACTTTACACTTTATTGACATTTTTTTTTAAATATACTTTAAAATGGGAGGATATTCTCAATTCATTGAAATATTTTTTTTATGTATGTTGAGCGATAATTCTTTATCACGTTGCCCGATTTCTGTTATTCTCTTTTTGTTAGAAAAGGAATAGTTCTATATACATTTAGTCAAGATCTGAAGATGGGATCCACGAGAAAATCATCAACATCTTCATGTAGGTTTTTTAAAATTTCTTTAAACCGTACTGGTTCGCACGCTGTAAGGAATAAAGAAATGTAAATAATTGTTGTGCCAGCCAAAAAGCGAAGAGGAAGTAACGATTAAAATATTAAGTGACAGAAGAGTTTCTAAGTTCGTCGAGATCGGGTTTATATTTTAAAATGCCTTGAAACCCGCATTTGACAGTATACCATGCAAACTCTGCCAGTGACGTCACAAATGTTAAGTAAAGGTACAAATTTAATAGGATTAACTTTCAGTTTCTGCATTTGAAAATATACCCGATGCCAACTCGGCCAGTGATGCCATAAATGTTAGGTAAAGGTACAATTTAATAGGGTTCATTTTAATTTTATTTTAAATTATACTTGACTGAAACACGGTCTCTGACGTCATGAGCGTTGTGTAAAGGTATATATTCCAAATAAGCAACATTTCATGTTCCATCGGTATCAGGAATAATAGAACTGACATCCCATTTAAAATAAAACTGAAATAACAGAACTGTCAGAATATTTAAGATGGAAAGATCATAGCCTGTTTACTATTTTTACAAAAAATCATTCATTGTTTTGTCAGATACCGATGTCTACCCGTCGCTGAACAGCATGTATATAAATATACAGCTCTCTAGTAAAAATGACAAATTAAAAGTTTATACTTTTTGCATTTGGCAAAATATTAATACCTTTGGTTAAAATATTTATCATTCCTTATGAAACACCATGTACCTTATTTAAAAGAAAACTGAACATATTATATAGTACTGTACGACAGACATCTCTTGGCGACGTTGTCAACTACATTAAGTTTTTAGGTAACGAGCAAGTGTGGCCTCGCCGATTCAGGAGGACGCACAATAGGTCTAGTAAGGCCTAAGTGCTATGGGTGCTCTACTTCGCTTCATCCACTGGTTCTTTAACGAAAAATCTTGCTAGAGTATCACCTCATTTATCGGAGCGGTGGCGTAGGTGTCTAACGCGCTCGCATTCATTTGTGAGCAAATCGAATCCTACAGAAGCCCATGTGAATTTATTTGCATGATTCTCTATAGGATTTGATGGATACCGTATTTGCAGAAATTTAAATGCTGTTGATATATCCAGATTGTAAAAATCGCCATTTTGATGATGGTGGGTGCGGAATTTCCTCACCTGTAAGTCAAATGGCACCATCAATCATCTTTATGTCGCCCCGAAGTACCACGGCTATTAATAATAATAGTCGTCCCTTCCCCAGACAAGCTCAGATTTTGGGGTAAAAATTCACTCGGAGGGAGGTGAATTAGGGAGAGTATTATAAAAACTTTTACAAAAATCGCTATTTTAGTATTCACAGTTGTTATACATACTTATAAATAATCCAATTTGACCAGTAACCTTCGGGTCGGGACCCCAGAGCATGAAGGATAAATAGATATTCTGCTTTTGTTACGCTTTTTTGTGGTTTTCAAGCAATATTATTTGTTAAATTTCTTGTATTGTTTTTGTAGAAATTAAATTAACTTTATGACAGTATGACCATATAAACTCAAAATAATAAGAACATTATTCATAAAGTTATATTTTATAAAATATATTATTAACAATCTTACAAATTTATACATAAATACGTTTTATTAAATTATTTAAATAATTATATACATTTTTGGATTTTTTCACTGAGTTAAGTTACCATTATAGAAGGGTAATTATCATTTACCCAATGTAATATTGATTGTTGGCCTACCAAGGCCCAAATGTATGGAATGAAAAAGTCTTCGGGTTGATCTTCTTCTACGTATTTAAATTTGAGATCAGGGAATTTCTAAAAACAAAAAACAGTATATTTTCGTCACTTTAAAAAAAAAAAATATTTGTAAACACCTTTATTTAAACTAATTTAAAAACCTTTTAAACAGCTATGATTTAGAAATACAGGACAGGGGACACTAAAGATAATTATGAGAGTTTATACCTGTATTCAGATTTGTTCTAGTTAAAAAGATGAGCTAAAAAAAAAACTTGACAAACCATATGACTATATATAAAAGAAAAACAAGAAAAGTAACTATTAATAAATTTCCAAATACGAAAAATCACTTTTTTGGACATAAAACTGCGCTAGTGAAATGAAAAAATTAAAATAGAGTATTATTTGATTAAAGGTTGTCCTTTGTATGACTACAGTATGTAGTCGGTCTTGAAAACAACATACATTATTGATTAAGACAGATCGTGAACATCGGTGTCTTGCATTTTACAGATAGTAGATAACGATGTTACATGAAAAGTATGTCTTATATAAATGACGCATTAGTGAAGATTCATAAAAATTACCGTTAGTTTTTCTTTTGGCCAACTCCTCACTCCTTGTTGTATAATGAGAAGCACATGGCGAGCATCTACTTCATGATCCAATGATTTTTCATGTAAAAGCTGTGAAAAATATTTCAAGATAGTGTCAATATTGAAAATGATATCCTGAAAAACAATATTGTCCTTAAACGCTTCGAATGTGCTTTTATTGTAAAGCAACGTATAAATTAGATTCGGATTATTGCCCAGTTGTGTAGTTAGACACGAATTAAGGATTTCTAAAACCATCCTTAATACCTCTTCTAAGACAGAAATGTCTTGCTCGGCATCACTCGATTCTGGTTCAACCTAAAAGTATTGTTATTAAAATAATAGATAGATGTCTACTAGGCCGGTTGTGATTAATGGTTTTCAGATTAATGTATGTACATAGACACAATTTGTGAAATTTTTTTATTTTGGACGGGATGATGTATGATAAAGGTGTTTCCAACCTCCAAAAACAAAATGGCTAAAACTGGGCATAGTACGTGTAAAAATTCGTTAGATTCATATGTGTTGTTATGGCAAATGGTAAATATTACTGGCCATTCATTTTTAAACTGTCAGAAGTAAAATTGCAGTGCATTTTTAGCTTTTATCAATTGAAAAATACATATAGATTAATATTTTCATCAATAATAGGATTTTTGAGCGATTTTATGTCAAATAAATTCAACTGTAACTTCCGACCTATTAGGGGAATGACAGAGTGGTTTTGAAGGAAACAAGTCAGGATATAAAATATAATTTTTCTTCGATTTTAGCAAATAACGCATTAATTCCATAGACTGTGATCGCATGCTATTTGTTGTTTAAAAAAAAAAAATAATCTGCTTATAAATATTATTAATAAATATTATTTTGGAGGATTAAGTATACTTTATTTTAATAATGGCGGCGTTAACTTTTATTGAAAAATATTTTTGAAGTAAGACTGTTTCATTCTATTGTTAAAGAGTGAGTTTTACTGTTTACTAAATCGAACAAATAAAAAAATTATAACATCAATCAATATTTTTTAATATAAGTAGTTAAGGCACAATATTATTATAATTTTGAAAATATAAATATCTGCAAATCGTATTAAAAAATTTAAGAGGTAAAATATAATTTTCACAAAAAAAATTGTACACTTCTAATTCAAAAAAAGCATGGCACCAAAGAATCCACTGTTTTTTTATAAAGATTCCCTTTTTTCGGCATATTTATTTAAAGGCATTATTTCATTAATTAGCACTTTCTGCAGTAAAAAAAATAAAATAGTAATATTTCACTAAATTAATGTATTGATTTTGCCATTATATGTAAATGTGTGAACTGTGTTTAAAAATATTTAACATATTTTGTAGTGACGTGATTTTTTCATGAAGTAGATTGGTGACATTTATAGGTATCATATTTACTTAACCTTACCTCTAAAGCTACTTTATTGTCTATCTGAGAATTCCCAGGTTTCAGTCTTGTTACCAACCTATTATATTTTTTGGCGAGTGTTTCAAAAAGGGAAACCAGTCTTTGGCTTACATATGGATGTAGATTTCTGAAGTGTGCTGACATATTGGCAAGAGCTGCTAAGCAGTTCGTGTGCAAGTATTTGTCCCTCATTTTTAACATATTGTACTGTACAGTTCGTATTACTATTAGAATGAGCAAACCTCCTAACGATATATCTGTTAAAGCTCGCTCCAAGTACCAGGTAACGTTTTTAAGTTTCTAAAAATAAAATGTTAATAATTATCACCCGCAATTTTTATTAAATTAAAAGTTCCTTACCAAATCATGTATAACCTCATTGAAACTGTCGTCTTCACTTAAAATAAGCAAAATTATTAACGACATGTAAATATGATGAGAATTACTGTTGGGTGCATTGTATAAACTTTTCAAAATTGGAACAATCTGAAAAATATATTATTTATTATGTATAGAAAGTATACACAACAGCTTGAAAGCTTAATAGAACAAATCAAGAGCTATTTTATGAACCACATTTTAAAATGTGTTTATAAACGTAATGGCAATGTAGGTATATTTACTTTTTATTAAAGATATTAAATATAGTTTTCGTATTCGCATTCAAAACCAATATCTTTCATCAATCTACATTAGGGTTCTTAAAGAGAACGATGCTGAATTCTCATTCCCTCGATTATAAATTGCATTCAAAGTTGGCAGAATAATTAAAAAACATTGTAAATTAAATTAATAAGGTCTTAAAACCCTCATCATATGTATATTCGCGAGAATTTGACTGCCATATCCGCTTTTTTCTTCTTGCAGGAGATTTCAATTCATTGTTTTGTACGTCCTCTTTATTGATGGTATAAATTGTTTTTTTGGCTGACCCCACTCATTTTGGAAGAACAACTTACGCAGTCACACTCAATTTATCGTCATTGATTAAATAACAAATCATATAAAAAAATCACTTTTAAACTCCATGTTGCAGTTAAGAAATCACAACTGAACCAACCCCAAAAAAGTTATTGAGTAATTAAATGTCAAAGTTTTGACAATTATAAAAAATTCATGGGCTTTAAATATGTGTATACAAGATGTTATAAGCATTCATTTCTGTGAGGAATTGATGATGGTTTTCGGACAATTCTTAACAACTTAGGGTGAGATTACAGAACGTCTGCAACTTTGCAGATCTGCAAATATATGGCGGACTTACAGATGGAAGTATCAAGTTTTCGTATTCCAAAAAATATCTGCAAATTCGCAATAAACCACAATAAATTTTGCTAATTTGCAGATATTTTTTGGAATACGAAAACTTGATTCTTGCATCTGTAAGTCCGCCATATTTGCAGATCTGCAAAGTTGCAGACGTTCTGTAATCTCACCCTTAGTACAGAAAATTATCTAATAAAAATATATACATCTTAACTTACTTAACTTACCAAAAGATCTAAATCTTCCCTTCGTAAAATGTAAGATTTAAATGACTGATTTCGATGTAATAACAAATACAGAAGCAATGTTGCAGCATCCCCTGAGGCCTTTTTACATAATGCTAGGTACAAATTATTAAAATCTATTTTAAATAAACCGGAAACTTTGGATGGTGGTACAGGATTTGTGTCTAAAAAATACTGAATTAGATTATTGGGGATTTCACAGAGTGAAGAATTATTTAAAAACACATTTTTTTAAAAATTAACCAAGTTTATGACAAAATCCATAAATTTATGTGGACATGAATGAATTTTTAAAGCTTTTAAATATCAATTGAATCAATTAAATGCACTGATATGTAGGAATACGGTATATAATCTGACTAAAAACTAAACATGAAAAACGTTAAATAAACTAACCTTAGTTAATTTTAATAAATATTAAATATACCTCCCAAAAATATGAAGATTAACTAATTTGAATCTTTCCCAAAATCTACCGTTTCAAGAAATAATTTTTTACATGATTTTGCACCATTTTGTGCAATTTTTGGTTACTCACCTTGACTATCTAGACACGAAAATAAACAATTTCTATAAGGGTTCGATTTTGTGGTCCAATGATGAACTAAAACTAGAAGTAAAAGCAAGCTTTGGGTTGCTAAGGGCGTATACTGATAGGAATTTTCGTCCGATTCCAAATATTCTTCAGTCGGTTTTTTTGCAAATGTTAGAACTGACCAAATATTGGAAGCCAAATCTACAAATGAAAATTTACATAGATAATATCTATTCACAAAAGGGAGTAATTTTTCAAAATGTATTATATAACGTTAGTTTTTTAATTAATACTTATAAAATAAATGTATATTGTGAATTTCAAGTGAATGTAAGTTGAAAGAATTATGTATTTACTATATATTTGTAAATAATAAAATAAATGGCAGATACAGGGTCAAAAGTCAAATGGATACGAAAATAGAAAATTTTATTCATCCAATATATGTATTGAAGTTAACATCTTAACAACTTTGAACAACAAATTATAACATTGATAATTTATTTATTTCAAACAAAAGTTTTACTAATTACAGGAAAACCATACAAAACAAAATTAAGACATAAATAATGCAATATTTGATCACATACCTATCAATAAACATCACAAAAAAGTAAGTAAGATAATTTTCAATTATTATTTCAAAAATTATCTATTACTTTTATTTGATTAAATATAATTTAAATATTTGTAATTATTTATTTACTTACCTAAAACAATACTGTGACCCTCACTTCCTGCAGGTAACCTGAGCTGTTTTATAAAATTAGACATCAGACTCTTGACTAGAACAGGTGAGTGTATTACATGCTTCCCACTCATCATTAGTCTGTAAATTGTGCTTTGATCTGACCTGCCACCTATATGGTACTGGGTGGAGAGGCAAATCAAAAGACATGTTACCGATTCTAAATGAATTAGATATGTTGAATCTTCAACTGGAACATCTACTATTATACCTATAAAGACAGCGAGTCAAATTAAGGTATCTGCTCACTAGGTCTGAGTATGTCCTAACCGTAATCAGATCGACACATTAAGAAGGAAGAATGAAATCTTTATTTACTTTAAAATACCTATAAAGGTATAGAGTATTATACTACATTAATATACATTTTATAGATATATAGTATTAAACAATGTTTTTATACATCATTAGTTGAGAGAAGAAAACTATCCTATGTCTACTTAAACTATCCTATGTCCATTTTTTGAAAAATAAGTTATTGACATAATATCTTAAGTACTATTTAATTCTAGCTCATGCAATACTATCCAAAGTCCTATGAAGCCATATGGGAAACAAAAATTTCCTATAATTGTCTTCGTTATAGGGCAAACTTTCAAATGTGTAATGCTCAAAACTAATAGAAAAGGACTTACTATAGTATTTTTCTCAACTGACATTATTTACATAACATACATTTGTTTCTTAAATTATTGTAAATATGGTGCAACGATCAATATTGCAACCAATACACGTTTTCCCATATATGGGTACAAAATAATGTATAAAAGTATTTTTTTAATGTGTTTATCAGATCACAGTCAGATCTAGTGAAGTAGAAACCTTTAATGTTTCTATTCGTTATTTTGTAATGCAACATTATAGTACCATTGCATCAATGTAACATTGTAATTAGACCAAGTTCATCAAACCCCCATTGTTATATCTGGATATTACACAGTTAAATAAGTTATGGTGGAACTAACTCTTTGTAATAAGTTAAATACATGCGTGGCTTCTCCATAAGGTCACTTGGTCAATGACCCATAATTTATTTCAAACAATATTAAATATTTGATATCTTTAAAAAAGTACAATTACATTTTCTTGCAAAAATTCCCCAATTATTACCAATGAAGTCAAGATTACTAATGTCTAATAACAATTCATTATTATCTGTTGCACGCTTGGCACAGCCTGAGTATATTTAAATTGACCTCTTGGGTTATAAGGCAATCCACAAGGAAAAGTGCATTGCCAGTAGACAAAGATATAACTATATGCGCCCGCTTTGAAGTTGAAAAGAGACAAGTAATTGTTGACGGACGACCAATATATCTATGATAATGCATGTGCTCGAACGCCTCTATATAGGCCTACGACGCATCAGCATTATAGTTCTGTGAAAATAAAAACCCAAACAAAAGGTTCAGCTTAAAGTTTTTTACGTTTTTTAATTGTTTCATCTTGTGTTTTGGTATATTAATTTTCAAAATGTTCTTTTTTTGACTATTCAGTGAATATCTCAAGGAATACATATTTTTACTCTATTTAAAAGTCAAAAATAAAAAAAAAATAGTCCAAAAAAATGGCAATGCGGGCCACACAAAATAATACTACAGAACTTAACTTGCTCAGTCATTTCAATAATTTCCTTTGTTTTTGAACAATCAATCAAGTCATTATCCATTTTAAATAATAATACTCTCCCTAAGAGTGAATTTGAACCCCCTGAAGCCAACTGAGTTACTTATGTAGAGGAAGGGAGGGCTATTATTATTTGCGGTGGCACTCTGAGGCGACTTAAAGATGATTGATTGTGCCATTTGACTTAAAGGTGAGGAAAACCCCACCCACCATCATCGAAAAAAGTAAAGAACATTTCATTGCTGTGGCTTTAGGTCCATAATTTTTAAATTATTATTGTGCTTTTACATTATATTCAGTGAAATTATATTATAACAAAAATAATCTAAAATAGGAGGTTTGTCTATGGAACATTACAATTTATTGTGCATTATGGTACTATTCCATTGAGTTACAAATGGTAGTTTCATAGAAAGTTTTTAATATGAGACAGTTAACTAACCTACTAAAGTGCCTATAAATGACTCCAGTAAATTTACACTGCCTTTTAAGCCTATGTGCTTGATTAGCTCATCCTCAGAAACAATTTCTATTAGAAATTTCAAGATACATCTTATTATAAATAATGTATTAAACAGTTGCCAGTTAAATAAGTTCCTAGAATAAAAATATGATAAAATCAAAAAATAATGATGATAAAGTTATTTTAGAGTACATATTTTAAAACATACTGACAAAAAATGCAGTCACACATTCTGTAAAATGATAATAAAATAAATGTTAAAGGTTTCAACTAATTTAAAGTGTTTCTCAGAATTGATATTTTGAATTTATTGTGTAATTTTTTTTATAATCAAAGTGCCATATCGCAAGCATGTAGCATATTTTCATAAAAATATGAGCTGTATTAAGTTAAACACAATGAAATAAAAATGACTATTAGGGCCAATCTTTTAACCTCTGAGTAAAGTTGAAAGTAACTACTTACTAATTAAACTATAGGGCTATTGTGTATTAATCTGTCAAGTAAACCTACTTGTAACTTTAATCTGAGGTGAAAAGATCAGCCCTTAGTAAAAAAAAGAAAATGTTGATTTAGTATTTCACCTAACACAACTATATTATGCATCATTTACTTATTGTGACATGAGGGTGCACATTAACATCTTTAGTTAAGGAATACTTTCAATTATATATAACTCCTGTAGGTAACAATTTAGTTGACTTACGCTTGTGTATTTGTTGCCGATAATAATTCAGTAGATCTATCAAGGAATATATGAATAAGTGTACTGAAATTTCCAGTGGTTAAATTATTCTTCAAAAGTTCTTTACATAGAGGTTCAATTCTTGCCTCTAGAGACAACTGATCATCTCTAGAAAAAAAAAAATGGAGATCTGCAGGTAAAAATAATAAGCAAATTAGACTTACAGTGTCATCGGTGGAATTAAATTGTATGCTAGAAACCTGTTCCAAAAGGGATCATTTTTAGAAATGGGATCATTTCCCACAAACTTTAAACAATATTCATTTGCTGTCAGTTCCAAATTTTTGCTGACTGCCTTGCCCATTATTGTGTTTTTTACTAAATTTTACAACACTTTTTTAGATTAAAAATGAAAGTATTTAAAAAATTTGAAACAAATATTTTGAACATCATAACCTGTACCACGTATCAAGTTTTGACGTTTCCATTTTTCCCTTTCACATGTGTCACTTTTGCAGATTTGCAACGTTGCCAGTTGGTAGCACGTGGGTAGATGGTACCTAGAAGGCGAGTTCGGTCAGTCAGGGGCTGGAGCGGGACAAATTTTAGGGTGCTTTTAAATGACATTTAAGCGTGTTAAACTGTCACTAATCGGACTAAACCGAACGCTAAAAGAGTCGTTTGGAGTTAAAAGTGTTAAAGGAGTTAAAGGAACGTGGCAAACCGAACGCAATGAGAGTACTCACTATGAACTACATACATTGCGTTCGGTTTGCCACGTTCCTTTAACTCCTTTAACACTTTTAACTCCAAACGACTCTTTTAGCGTTCTGTTTAGTCCGATTAGTGACAGTTTAACACGCTTAAATGTCATTTAAAAGCACCCTAAAATTTGTCCCGCTCCAGCCCCTGACTGACCGAACTCGCCTTTAAAATTAACGACGATACGAATGGGGGCAGTGAGGTAATGAGATTATGAGATTGAATAATATGTAGTACAATATTACCTCCATGGACGTTAACTAGAACGCTAGAATTTAAAACATTCAAACATGGTACAGACATGACAAACTTGCTCTGGCTTTTGACTCGATATTCAAAGTCAATGTTTGTTTCCTAATAGAAGAAGAAATAAAAATTTTGAATTGGTTACATAACCTAATTGTGTAGTTATTAATTTATTTATAATTGTGTAGTATTTATTGATAACTTGATATATAGGAAAAGAATCCAACTGACGATAAAAAAGAAAGCATGTATTTAAATTAAGATTAATGATCAAACATCGAAAATGTCCGGTAAACTTGCACCTAATTCTTTTAGAAGTGTCTTCAAAACTATAGACAAAGACTTAGTGAGATGGTTTCCAGGTCATATGGGCAAAGGCTTGAAGCAAATGCAACACAAATTAAGGTCTGTAGATTGCATTATAGAAGTCCATGACTCGCGAATCCCAATTTCTGGAATAAATACTGATTTCAAGTATACAGTGAGTGGAATAAAACCTCATATTTTAGTACTAAACAAAGTGGATTTAATAGATGCTCGTTACAAATCATTAATAGAAAATCATTTGAAAGATGACTACAAACATGTAATATTTACCGAATGTAAAAATCAACAGTGCAATGGACTTAAACAAATATTTCCATTAGCCCAAAAGTTAATCAAGGAATCAGATAGGTATAATCGAGCAACTGAAGAAGACTGCAATATTATGATTATTGGTGTTCCTAATGTCGGTAAATCCAGTTTGATTAATGCTCTTAGAGCAAGATATTTTGGAAAAGGCAATGCCACTACAGTTGGAGCTGTTCCAGGTGTCACAAGAAGTGTGTTACATAAAATAAAATTGTCAGATAAGCCTTTGTTCTATATGTTAGACACTCCTGGAATATTATCACCTAAAATTTCTAATGTTGAGACAGGTTTAAAACTAGCTTTGTGTTCTACAATAGCTGATCATATGGTAGGAGAAAGAATTTTAGCTGATTATTTGCTGTACTGGCTAAACAAAAATGAACATTTTGATTATGTAAAGGTTTTTGATTTAGAAGAACAAAGTGATAATATTTTAGATGTTTTAACACATGTTGCTAAAGTCAATAAAAAATATCTAAAATTTAAAGATACCATGAATAATTATATTATTGCTCCAAATCTGGATCATGCTGCTAATATGTTTTTAAAGGCATTTAGAACTGGTAATTTAGGAAAAATCATGTTAGATGAAGATATTATTAGGTAGCAATAAATATTATTTGTATTTGTTTTAACTATTAAAATAGTTCCTTTCATAATTTGTTTATTTGGCCTTACTACATAGAACTAATGGAACCTACTAGAATAGTAAAACAAGTAATGGGAAGGAAGTTCTACAACAGCTTAATTTTTTTATAACAAATATATTTAAAATTAATAATGTTTCTTAATTATTTCTGAAATGTCTCTTCTACAGGATTGTGTTAGCTAATGTTTTTAAAATACAGAAACTTATGGATCATAACTGGTGTCTTTAGATTGTCTTCCCACAGACCTCTATAAATTTTAGAGTCAAACTCTTGTAAATACGTTTATCTTAGAAATGTGTATATGTGTTTCCTCATATCTTAACCATCTAAGTCAAAAAAGCAGCATCTCGGTTCAAGTGAGTGCAGAGAGAAAACATTTTTTTAAGTTGTTTTCATGTTCTCTCGAGTTGAAATAAATAATTTAGGTACCGCTGGATTGCTTTAAATTATTTATTGTCTTTGAATATAACATTTGAAGTGTGTGTGACGCATAAGGATATGCGACTATTTAGTTTAGTAATAATTTCAGTAAATACTCGAAGTATATTACTTCGATTGGCGATGATGAGCATGTGCCTATCATAGGGGGTTCAGAGGTTGACTAATTTGAGAAATAATATTGGTAACGGGAAAACTGGAAATTGAAGCAGGACCGGACTGGTCGAAAATGGCTCGCATGACAATATGAAATCCGTTAAGCACAGAGCACGTTTAGTGCCCAAATAAATTTCAAAATTGTAATAAATCTGTCAAACTAATTGTCCGTATATTTTTAATTATCAAAGTTACTTTTAATTAAAAATGAATGATTCTAGTGAAGGATCGATACACAAGATATTCGTCTATATGTTTACAAAGAAACAGTAAATTTTAATAAAACAAAATTAATTTAAGCAAATGTTACTATGCAATTTGTTACTGTTGAAAATTGGAATGATGACTTCATATGAGAAATATCCGGGGTTCAAATCCAAGCTGAATGCATTTTTTTAAGACTATCTCAGCGACTATTTCTCTAGAGAAATAGTCGATATTTGGTCTAGTGAAATAGTCGTTCTAAATATAACACGACCCTGATTAATATTCTACTATTTTTGTTGTTGCTAAATTACGCGAACATTTTACAATTTGATTCTACATAATTTTGGCATTAATAATCAATTGATTAATGTCAAAAATTATGTCTCATCAAATTGATATTAAAATATTCTCGAGATTTAGATTCAACAAAAATAGCCGACTATTATCAAGGTCTTGGTATATTACCCTTGATTATTCTATTTTATAAATTAGTTAGTCATAAAAATTCCGATATCTGAATAAACACTATCTTTTTTTTTTATTAAAATACTGGAATATTTTGACACGCGCTTTTATGTCTTGAACTATTTGTCCTTGTGCTATTTTGTACTGCGCTATTTTGTCCTGCTCCATTTTGTCCTGCGCTGTTTTGTCATGGAGCCATATACACGTAAGCCATAAAAAAATACACTTAGATTATGGACACTTCGTCTTCGTGAGATATGGCAATCATATACCTACTAAAACTACTTGACATATGGTGCTATATGTCTATAGATTTTTATACGGAAAGCCCAATGAAGTGTAGTGGGCAAGATCATACCTTTGGGGAAAACACCACATGAGATATTGCCGAACTTTTCCCAAAAATGCACTTTATTTGTAATTTAAATACTTCTGGTGTCAGTTGTCTTGTTTGTGATTTGACCCAAAGGCATAAAAAGTAAAATCTATATAGTTAATCCATAAATAATTATAAATATAATTATTTATTTATATAAGCACCAAACAATGTGTCATTAAATTAAAGACACGTTTTTTAATTTAAAAAGTAATTTATATAAAATGAAACACCCATAACCACAATAACCACTGAACTCTTGAAAATCGTTACCCCAATTTTCCGATGTTGTCATGTGAAAGTACTTGACCTGTCTGTGGAAATTGTACAGTTGTCCCTGATTACAGAGTAAATCAACCAAGGATGTCGAACGCACTTATGACACAAATCAGTTGTCAAAAATTGTGCGACGCTCAGTGTTGCCAATGGCGAAGTTTTATTTGATATATATGTAATTTTTTCATCAACAGTTACAGCGTTTTCCAGGTCTCTGTGGCGTTTTCCAATTTAGTAGAATGCACCATTGCCCTGTAAAGTTTTGTTTTAAAACAAGTTCATCACTTTATTTATTGTATTTTCGGGTAAAATCATCGGGAATTCTCTAATTTTTGAATAGGGTTTTTCACCGTTTGGCTCTGGTAATACTGGCGACGCTAGCGCCAATTGACTGTTTGCGACTGGATAGCAGACTTTTTATTAAAATAAGGTTATTTAATATTTATACTTTATTCGTTTATTGAATAGTTCTGTGTTAAAATATTCATTTGTTTTGTTGATAAACAATTTTAAAAAATATTTAAACTTAAGGTAGTAAAAATTTATTACTAACTTGCCAGAATTTACAGTAAATCACTTTAAAAACGATGTCCAAAAGCGGCGTTGGTAGAGGTAGAGGATGGCTGAAGTTACAAAAAAATCAACAAAATGTTTCACCTAACACGGTTCCTCTTCCTCCAGAATCCCTAAAGGATGAGTCGGAATTTAGTGATGTGTCCGAGTACAAAGATCTTATAAGTAGAGTTAAAGAACTGGATGTAACTGATGATGGCATCAAATTTAACCAAAAAATAAGATATATCTTAGAAAATTGGAAGCAGGATTGTCAGACTAGCGAAGAAGTTGAGTAAGTAAAAACATTTCTTCTCAGTTTTTTTTTGTATCTAAAATTTTCTTTCTATTATAGGAAAAGCTTTGATGCTTTGTATCAAGGGTGTTTAAACGATGATGAATTGGCTTCTAAACTTGTAATTATGATTGCATCAAGATCTTTTATTTCCCAAGAAGTTCATGATCAAAATATACGTCTCATATTCTTAAAAAAACTTCAAAGTGATTTTGAAGGTAAATACTTTTGAAGAAAGGAAGCATATTATACAATTTTTATTTGTATTATTTTTTAGGATCTAAAGTTGTACATAAATCAAATCCTGCATCATTTAGAAACAGTGTACGAATGTTGGGAGAATTTTTTAATAAAGCTAGATTAGTAAATGGACAGCCTTTTATATTTATGGTGGCTCCTTTACTGTCGTACCTTGAAATGCTCTTGGACTCTGCACAAGTTTTGGATTTACAACAGTTTACAGTGCAGGTATTCATAATAATAATTTTTATATACTTTATTTTATTATTTATGCATTAGACATAGTGTTTTAAGTTTAAGGATGGAAAAAAACTAATATTTGATGTGCTACTTGGTACAGGAATCAGATAATACTTGATTCCTGGTAGTATTCGAATACTAATGACTAGAGTCAGAGATTTTTACAATTAGATGATGCTGCTGCAAATCAGGAGTCATGTTTGAGAAGCTGAAAATATTGGTTCTGTGTTCATTGTCAGTGACTGTTGTTTTACTCAGTTAATGCTAGTATTCAGTGCTCAGTATTCAATAAAATATGTGATTTCATAAAGTATTTGATTTTTGAAAATACCCAATTCTTCCCATCTGTACTACACAGGGTGTTTTTCTGTATTAGTAATGACATCATTTGTGTGCCAAACAAAGATGACAGTGACAGTAGACTTAGTTAATATCCGAGTGCATTTTGTTTATGACTAATTTACTTAGTTTTTTTAACTTTTATGTGATTTTAATATAAATATATTCTTAAAATAAGTAAATAATATTGCGTATATAATTCTTTAGTAGTTATTTTTTTCCTGACAAAATTGACATAACCATCTAAAACAAAGCTGTTTTAACATACATACCTTGAACATTTTGTCCCTTTGTGTTTCTAGAATTAAATAACTTAATAAAAATAAAATTAGATTTTGGAAAATCTACATTTTTCTTATTACAGCATAAACCCACATCAACCTCTATGGTTATTAGCAGGTGATACATTCACAATTTGCCATATTTAGATTAAGTGGTGAAAGTTAATATATTTTAAATATTTTAGTGATTTTCATAGATCTGTGTCTGACTAATTATTAATTGTTTGTTGTTGCTGATTTCATTGATTTTCTTTCTTCTTCATATTGAGGGTATTCTATGAGGATGTCTGATTGTAAGCTGAGTAGAGGATGAGGTTCCTTCTTGAGTAAGTGTAGGTGTGTTAATGTGGTGTGTACAATTCATAGGTGTAGATAACTTGGCGTTTTATTTCTTTTAGTTTTAATATTATTTCATCCCAAATTGTTTGCCTTGTGTTTTAATGTTTTTTGTTTGGGGTCACAACATGGGTATTTGTCTATTATCTTGATATTATCATTTTCTGTGGCTTAGTTCGCTAAACGGTCGTTTCCTCTCATTTACATTTATTTATATTTTTTTTAAGATTGTATTTTTCCAAAAGTATATCACTATAATGGTTACATTAAATATATTTTGGTTAAATACCTTTAAAACTACTTTTGTTATGACATGCAAACAATATTAAAACAAAACTCCAAACAATTTTAAAATCAATGACAGAATGCTTTGTTTTTGCTTTGTTCACAAATTTGTCACATAAATGCAGCTATTATGAATTTTTTCACTTTTGTCATAAAGAGTTCTGATATAGAACAAACTTAATTTAAATAAAGGAATATTAATTGTCAGGGGCAAAAAGTTTTCATTTTGAAATTAGAATAATTAATAGGTAACTAGTAAATAATGCAAATTATTTAGATCATTTACATATTGAACATACAGTACTTATTGTCCATGTCTGGTATGCTATTATAATAGCAAGGAAATATTGGCTATGTTAGACAGGAAAAAATATATGTCAACGGTTGTAAGGAGAAACTGTTAAGATGGCAGCATTGAAATTCACAGAAGAGCTGTTTAAAGTTCGGATTTTTTGCTTATTACATTGAGTTTTTCATGACCCATGTATAAATACCTCAAATTTGGCCAAAGTGGCATATTAGGATTTCTCCTTTTAACAGTTGATGTATTATTGAGGTAAATACCTAAGTGTAAATTCAGTGAAAGCAGAGGTACTTTTTTGATGCACTTTCAAGTACCTTTCATTCCTATCATTTCTCACTTAACTGTAAACATACCATTTTAAACTAAAAAAGGTTGGAAAATTCTATCACATCTTAACACAAAGCATTTGATAATATCCCTGCAATAGTCTCTTAAGAAATATGGCTTTTGCCATTTTTTTTGTATCACCCCTGTAAATGTTTAGAGGATAAACTAGATAATATATACATTTTTCACATCTTACTCGAAACATTTTTGTCATGTGCATTGCCAACGAAAATACTGAAAAATTAAAATTTTACACTTTTCCTCAATTTTTTCCATGGGGAAATTTTATATGGGATGAAAATTATGGAGAATAACATTAGAAGGAACTTTTATTTAAATAATTTTCTTCTCCAAACATAAATAACTCATATATTTCATAAAAAAAACAACCTCCTATAAAGTAACCCCCCCCCCCAGATGTTCCGATTCTGTGCAAAATCAAATCAGTTCACTGCAAGCCGGGGTAAAGCTTAAATTAAAAATTTGGTGTTTTTCTCCTTATCCGTTTTTGAGTTTTATATTTTCTCAAATATCTTGAATTTTAGGGAAATTATGTATGGGGCAAGAATTATACTAAATAACAAACTACTTTTATTTGAACAATTTTCATAAAAAATTGAATTTTTTTACATTTTATCAAATTTCTCAAATACTGACCGTTTTAGGAAAATTTTGTATAGGGTAAAAATTACAGAGAATAATATAAGTATATAGATATATTTCATAAAACATAAAAATACGCCAAATAAAGTACCCCCAGATGTTCCGACTCCGCCCAAAATCTAATTAGTTCACCACAGGCCAAAATAAAGCTTAAATTTAAAATTTGGTGTTTTCTCTGTATCCATTCATGAGTTATCGAGTATACAGACACGCGCACAGACATCATCGCGAAACTAGTCAAAACGAATTCAAGGTACCCCAAAACGTAAAAATCCGTTGAAAACTCGAGGTCGAAAAAAATTCATGGTTCCTATACTTTCCTTATCTGTATACAGACAGGAAAGTAAAAATTGTTATAGTAAAATTAATGGTTTATATTTCATATATATTTTTAATGATTAAAAAAAATTCTGGCTTTTTTAATTTAGACTACTTTTTTATTTTTTAGATATATTTAAATGGAGCTGCCATAAAAACTGAATCTTCTGATAAATTAAATGATATTATCAACAAAGTAAGAGTTCTTTTAACGTCTGATAAACCCTTACCAAAGGAAGGTAAACTGTGGCTCTTGCTTTCATTAGAGATAGTTGGAAACAAGTTTGGAGTATTGCCTATTGAAGTGTTTAAATTTTATCAAGAACAAATTGGTTGTAATTCAATGGCTATTTTTCAGGTTTGTTTTCTGAATAATTCTTAAGTGCAATACAAATTTGCTATGAGTGTGTTATGGATTATTATCCAACTCATATTTTAACTCGTAATTGAAGTAATACAAAACATTTTATTTATTTTTTTAATAAAACGAACTGTCTTCGACCACAAACTATATTCGAGTGTATCTTTATGTAACCTTACATCTTATATTTCACTCAAAACTGCAATTCTCTTGTCTTAAATTGTTAAAAGACGTTAGAAATAACACTGTCAAAATCCTTGTGCAGGGATACTTCTAAAACAAAAAAAGCTCATGTAAACATGAACCAGATGACGTTTATATATTCTTACATTCTAAGACTAAACATTTCTCGTACTTTGAAAGGAGGCTTTTAAAACAATACAAGCTAATATTCATAGGAAATATTGTTTATTCTAGGTAAAGGTCACACAGTTTTGACACTGCCCATTTAAATTCGCAACCAGGACAAGTCTGTCAGAACATGAAAACACTTCAGTACCTCGTGCTTCCAGTTAAACGAATCAATGTTATCTTATTTGATTTATACTTGTGCGATACTTGAGTTCATTAATATAGTCAGAAGACTAATGAGTCAAAAAATGCTGAAATAAAGAATAAGTTAAAATTGTGATAGACTCTTAATATCTGGTTCCAGTAGTAATACCATTCGTTGTCTAAATTTAAAGTGGGATGGGGTCAAAACATCTAGGTCATTGGACTGGATGCATTTGGAAAAAGAAAGTGTGAGTTCAGTACTCCTTCTATCTGTGTTAGTTAAGGTTGAAAGACAATCAAAAGTTAAAAAAACTTGAGCCATAATTCTTTCCAAACGGTGCTTTTCAATAGTGCAAACCAGCCTCTCACAAACCACCAAAAATTTGAGGAACTAACTGAAATTAATTTCCCCCAACTAAATAATTTTCTTTATTTTTCAAAAAAAAAACACCTAAATCTAAAAGTTCGTTTTTGGCTCCCACTGTTAGATCCATCTGTGAGAACTTCAAGAGATTTCCCTCTTCTAGTTACAAATCGACAAAAACATGGAATAATGGCTCTGGATGTGAAATTTGATTCCTACAGGCTAAAGGGAAAAGACAGTGTAACTTTAGGTTTAGGAAAAGCATCTATTTCTTGTTTAATGCGTTTAAAATTTGCTCAGAGACAAACTATGCACTGATGTGATATTTTCGTTGCCAAGTTTGTACCACCTAATATTCAATATTTTCTCTAATGGGTTGAGGCGCCGGTGCGGTGGGTGCTGTGAAATATATTGAACACATCGATCACAATTCCCAGCAGTGTGGCCCTGGTTACAACTTGAGTGAGTGACTGAGTTTGTACAGCTTGGAGCCCACAATTAATACAAGAATGCATAAGTTGACGTATGGGAAGAAGTAGGTCATCCAAATGGCGTAATAAGCCATCTGCACTTAAGTGCCGCCATGTGAACCCACAAGAGGAGGAATATCATGGTGGAACCCCAAGCATGATTGAGGGGAGCTAGTGGCTGGATCCAATCCTGATTGGGAGGCAGCAGAGGGATACCTGAAAGGGCGAAAAAAAAGTTGAGAAAAATTGATAGTGTTAACTGAAATGTTTTGCTACTAATATCGGAGGTTTCCGAGGAAATGTTTATAGTCAAGGAATAGGCTGAATTTTCATATATTTCTAGTGCTATATTTTCCTGTTTCTAATTGAATAATTTGTTAAATTATTTCTTTTGTGCAATTTTAATAAGAACTGTAGCCTGATTTAATTCATCATTAGTTAGATATTGACCTGTACGCCATCTCAGACACCATGTCTACTCTTTTTTGAAATTAAAATTACCAATTCTCGTAATTAGTTTCAATACTACCTCTAACTGCAAAATGGGTTCAGATTTAATTTTTAGTTTCACTTCAGGCAATTCTTGACAAGAAGTGTCTAGTGTTGCAAGCCAAGATTTTTCATCTAACTGAAGCCATTCAGGCCCCTACCACCAACTTTTAGAATGTACTAGTCTAGATAGCATATTCGCAGAATTATCTTCCATTAGAACATGACGCTAATTTTCCTGATTTGATAAATTTTGAATTTCTGGCTATCCTCTTTCTGATCACAAGATTATACGATTAAAATGTATCTTCATATTTTCTACTACTTTCGCTAAAAATTAGTTTTAGCGCCTTGCAATTCCAGTATTGAGATTCTTAGGAATTTGATGGGAGTAACTCTTATAGTTTTGTAGAGAGATAATTTTGACGTTTATTGCAACTTTGGCATCGTAATTTAATTAATATAAAATTATATATTAAAAATCAAAACAGGATGTTACAAAGGTTAACGCTTCGACAGCATTTTCTTGAGTTGTTTGTAGGAATTCTCTTATTGTAAGAAATTTGAAAAAAGTTCAATCAGAATTATTTATTTATGTAGTACTTACTATATTGCTTCTGTAGCGTGGCCGCACTGCAGCCTACGACTTATTGTGCAACTATTGGAAGGTCTTAATACTTTCCCATTCATTCCACGTTATTTTAAACTTTGCTTATTTTTAATTACTAGCGGTGAAATGGCAAAGTCTTTTTCTTTGCAGCTTAAGTGGAGCACCGAGTTACACTATTTCCGAACATATCGTTCCATTGATTTGTTGTAGTGGAAATTACACTATTCTGGATCATTCCTTTGCGAGGAGTAAATTCCACGAGTTTAGCTTATCTCCACTCTTGACGTCATTGAATAATAACTAGAGTGTTGCCAGTTCAATGGTGTCATTGGTCATCATTATTACTTGTGTCCTGTATTGTACCTGGCCATCAAACTGACAATTTACAAAACAACAAGATCTTCCTCGTCCTCAGTTGCAGAGTACTATTCTGCATCGATATTGACATTTTCTAAAATGCAAGGAATAGAGCAGGGGCAGAAGTTGACCAGGCTTTTGATAGGTAAAGAGGTGCTAAACGACAAACCCTATCATGTTTGTTGGCCAGTGTCTTATCGTAGAATAAATATAATAAAATTTTACTGGCCAAATCGGGCAATCCTATGAACTGTGCCAATGAAACGGGACGATTTGGGAACGCTACTGCAGAAAAAGTAGAGGGGAGACGGGCTTGGGCCGTCAACGTTGTGAAAACTTGCTCAGGTGAACAACGCCACATTTGTCGTGTAAGACATACGTTTCCCGATCGTCTTATCAACAAGAACGGCGATGTTCCTTGGCTACATCGTTCTCCTGACTAAGAATAGCTTTGCTAAATCTCGTTCTATGTACTTTTGTGCAATTAAGACGTTTTATTATTTTTTTTTGTGTCACCGGCATCAACTGCTATGGTAATTAGATTCGTGGTCTGTGTAGGCTTTGTTACTGTTTCACAAATTTATGAATAATTAAATAAAAATCCTGTCGCCGACGTGATTCGAACCTGGACTCTTGGATCTCAATTTTTTCCTCTGGAGGTACCTAAAAACAATAATGTTTCAAAGTAATCCTCAAGGACTATCCAAGTATCAAACGGATTCGACATGAAGTGGCTGAAATACCGCTAGAAATGCTGTGCAATGTTATGGGCACCATTACAACAAGGCTGCAAAAATGTGTCGACAAAATGGAAGCAAAATAGAAGAATTATTTTAAAAAAAAATGAAGGATAGGTCACTTAATATTTCCATTGATTGTAGATTATGGTTTCATCAAAAAATTCACAAAATATGATTTTTTTTTTTAAATCATTTCATTGGTTCATCCTCTATTTATGGGCTAGAAATAATTATTTAAACAAGTATTATGGTATTCCAAATCATAATTCTACCAAATTTTTGTAGTTATTCATTATTAAACTATTTACATGAATACGTAAAATTTTAATTGGAATCTATAAAGTAATGTTCTGTCAATGTATCGCGTTCACTTCAATTAGCTCCGCGGCAAAACTGTCAAATCCTGTTTATGAAGTGGAAGAACTGCGATAAGCCTTTCCAATTTATGCCTACTGCCTAGACACATTATCTGAAGCCTTGGAAGCTTGCTTCGCAACCTGTCAACTTTTTTTAAACATCGTCTAGCTTCGCTCTGATCTCTCGGATACACCGTTCGGCCTAGACTCACGTCCTGGAGCCATTCCGGTTTGATTCACAACCTTGATTTTTTTTCAAACATCCTCCGGGTTTGTATAGCCTGGAGGCGTATTGCCAAATAATATTAAGTTTCAGAGACATAATCAAACATTTATCTCTGAGTTGTAATATGTTTTGGTAACGGTTACGCAAAAACAACACGAACAAAACATACGCGCATCCAGCGCCGCCGCCGTAGTGATTCAAACGGTCTAAGCCCTGATGCGTCATATTATTCGGAGAATAACTTGTGCGCCATATTGTTGTAAATTGCCAAAACATATTCTTCGTTTCAGTTTTAGGTTTTAGTTCAGTGTGCGTGCACTTGAAGGTTGTTTTGAGATGTCGATAATTTGATGCGTCGCGTGATTTGTTATTTATCAGATCAACTTCGTTCCGATTTTTTGTCCGAAAGTTTCAGTAACTATGTATAATCAAACAACAATAAAGCCGAAAATTCGCCACAACTTGTCTCAGAATATTTCTCTGAATAGGACTAATGCCAAAAAACATTAACCAAAAATATATACTAAAAGAGCATGTACTTGATTTTATATTTATCCAAATTTGGATAGCTAGTAAATACATCTGAATTATTCATTATATTTGTCCTAATGGTATACATTTATGCTCCCCCTCCCCCCAATTTCATAATAATCACTTGATAGCCTTGTAGGAGTAAAAATTGCTCTAAATCGTAATATGTTTTGACATAGCAAGGGTATGTGCAATTCGTGAAAACACAAGCCAAAATATATTACGCATCAGAGTGCAGCGATCTGAAACGTAATATCATTTGGCAATACGCAGCCTGGAGCTATTGTCAAACGGCACTCTAATTAACCGACCTATTTCTTCTCATACAGTTTTTCTTACTATATTTGGCAACGGTGCAT